CACCGCCACCTTCGGCGTCTTGCCAGATCCCCTCGGCAGTCCTGGCTGGGTGGTGGTGGCAGCAGCAGCCCCATTCTACAGGGGAGGCAACTGAGGCAGGACGGGTGCCACACGCAGGGCTCAGCGCTGGTAACAGAGGATGGGAGTCCTCTCGGCCGCACTGGACTCCGAGTCCGGTGCTCCGCCTCCGTCGGCACGTTGCTTCCCCGCGAGCAGCAGGTTCTAGGACCTGCCCGCTTCGTCCATTTCCTTCTTCTGGGCTCTGCCACCTGCTCGGTGCTGTCTCCCCTGGCCCCCTGTGGGGGCGTGGACATTGAAAGGCTTGGGAGTGGGGGGGTTGGGGGGGATGCCCAGGGCACGGTAAGAGCAGAGCCCACAGGGGCCGCTGGGCTCTGCCCTCCACCCCGTCCCGGCTCGGTCTGCCTCTGCAAGTCTATAAATTCCATTATTCATCCAGCGATGGGGTGAGTTTGCCCAGACGATGAATATTTTATTCACCTCCAGACACTGTCCCCAGCGGGTTCTTGGAATAATATTGCCCCCCCTGGCCACGGAGCAGAGGCCAGGGCCTCTGCCCTCCCTGGACACCCCCTCTCTCACCCCATTACCCCCTGTGACCCCCGGCGGCCCCCCTGTTCAGGCTGGGCTGAGGTCAGGAGTCCAGACATGACCTTGAGCTCGGTGCCTGCCCCCCTCCGCTTGGACTTCCGCCTCTGGACAATGGGCTCATTTACTGCCTGATCAGGCTCTGCGGCCCCTCAATAAATCCACCCACTCCGCAGGGCGCTGCGGCTGCCAGGAGCTCTCCCTGGTGCTGAGCGCGCTGCTGGAGGATGCTGGCCTCAGAGTAGCTGCCTCCTCCTGGGCAGGGAGGATGGGGAACAAGCTGGCTTTGACAGGAGAGGGATCCAGCCCCCGCCCTGCTCAGGATGGTCCCCACTTCTTTTTTTTTTTTTTTAAATATATTTTTTATTGATTTTTTTACAGAGAGGAAGGAAGAGGGATAGAGAGTTAGAAATACCGATGAGAGAGAAACATCTATCAGCTGTCTCCTGCACACCCCCTACTGGGGATAGGCCCGCCACCAAGGTACATGCCCTTGACCAGAATCAAACCCGGGACCCTTCAGTCCGCAGGCCGACGCTCTATCCACGGAGCCAAACCCGTCAGGGTCGGTCCCCACGTCTCTCTCCCCGCCTCCCTGCCACGTGGTGGATCCTCTCTGAGTCACAGGTGGGTTCCCTCTTCCTCTGTCTCCAGCCAAGTCCCCGTGGCTGAGGTCTGTGGGGACCCTTCCCTGACCCCCAGGAGGTGCCTCGAGTCTCCTGGGGGCACCCCGGGAGCGCAGTGCGATGGGGCAGCGACAGACATAATTCACACCACGCCGCAGTCACGCCAGCTGCTCCCCGGCGACACGCAGAGGGGAGGACAGAGCTGCAATGCCAAAGGGTGGGTGCTGCCATCACCGTTCATTCATTCGTTCACTTATTCTTTCATTCACTCACTAGGGAGATGTTCCTCCAGCCCTCTCCTTCCCCCGGCCCAGCCCGGCCCAGCCCTGGGCCAGCCCCAGATCTGCAAGATGCAGACTAGACACCCCCCCCCCCAAGAGATGAGGGTGGTCCCCTCACCCCTCTGAGCTTCTGCCCACCGGGCTCCTCCTCCTGGAGTCCCCCTGACTCCGCCTAAGAAACCCCCATTTCCGTGCACCGAGGGGCCGCTCGGGGGTGAGGGGAGGCACCAAGGTCACGCAGCCGGCTCCGGGTTCTCCACGCAGAGCGCCACCCGCTGGCGGCACTGCCTCTCCACCACAAAGTCAGACCACTGTCTGCGCGGCCTCCCTGCCCCTCCGCTCTCTGCCGCCCTTCAGCAGGCAGCGAGCTGCGGCCTCGGCCACGCCGAGCAGCCCTCCGGAGCTGGCTGCCTGTGTGAGCCCCGGGGACAAGCAGCTCCTTCTCGTCCTCTGACTCAGCCGGGCTTCCCCAGGGCTGCTCAGGGCCCCAGATGCACAGGGACCCCCGATGGGCAGCGGGGGAGGGCCAGGAGGTTGGTTCCCAGAGGAGGCAGTGTTTCTCCGAGGCTGAAAGGGCAGGGAGAGATCAGCCTCGCTCGGACCCTGGCCCCCGGCCCCACCCTGCTCCCACCTCGGGCTTAAAGCCCCCAGCTCCGCCTCCTGCAGCCGAGTGACTCCACATGGGCCCTGCAGGGCCCCTGTCCATGAGCGGGGACAAAGCCTAACTGCCCTCAGAGGTTCAGAGGACTCAGCGGGTCACACGCCCCCCAGCCCAGGGACCCCCCTGAGAAGGGGGAGCCGGCGGAGCTGCTGGCCTGTGGCAGCCGGCTGGACCACGGCCAGCTCCGAGGGCCTTGGCTGTGCGCCAGAGGAGAGGACAGGGCCTGGAGGTTCAGAGGCGGCCCTAGCAGTGGGGTACGCTCCCGCCTTGGGGTGGTCATCCCCAGTGAGTCCTGTCCCTGTGGCCCGGTGGAGCCTGACCCAGAGAGCGGCCTGGGCCCAGGGCAGACAGACCAAGGCTGAGGCCTGGGGGAGGCCTGGGGCAGCCTGCAGGCCTGGCCAGGTGAGGTTTATCTCAGGGATTCGGAGCCATCCTTCCTCCACCTGGACAGCAAGGCTGGGAGGGAGCCTCAGGAGCCTCAGCAGGAGGTGTCTGCCTCCCTCCCTCCCTCCCTCCCTGCCTCCCTCCCTCCTTTCTCCTTCCTTCTTACGCGCCCTGCAGCAGCCTCCTGGAGTCCCCTGGAGCTGAGTTTCCCACCACCCCCTCAGCAAGCTCCAGCCCACCCTCCCTCGGGGACCGAGGGTCTGGCCACTCCGTGAGTGTTGCAGGAGTGCACCTCACACTCCATCAATCGATGGCAGCTATAATTATTATTAATTCATACCTCTCGGGGGGATTGTCATGCTAATAGGAAATTCCCGAGAGATCCAGGGAGGCCCTGCCAGGCACCTCTCATATGTCAACTTCCCTGCACCCTCACCGCTGCCTGGGGGTGGCCTCGCCACGCCTCCCTTCACGGGGGGGACACCGAGGCCCCGGGAGGTTAAGGGGGATGACCGCGTTCCCACAGCCCCGGGGGTACCTGGCTCTGGGTTCTAAACTCTCACATCCCCCGTCATCTGTCCACCTGCGGGTCCGAGGGACCCCAAAGCCCGCAGCCACCATGGTGGGGTGTCGGACAAGGGGCAGGCCAGGAGGAGGAGGAAGGTGAGAAGGGCTTCAGGGGTGGGCTTTTCTGGGGGCCTCTTAAAGCCACAGGCACGGGTTCTCACGGGCATCCGGCCAGTCCACAGAGGCTGGGGAGACACATAAGGAGTTGGGATCCTTCCTGACTTCTCTGCGTGTTTCAGATGCTGTGGGGACCCTCTCCACGGAGGGCCACGCCACGGAGGGGGTGGGGCCCAGGCCCGGCCCAGCCCAGCCCAGCTCCGCCAGGACAGCCACCTCTCCCTGAGTCCCCTCTCCTGGCCCACAGACAGGGCTGTGATTCACCAGCGACAAACGCAGAAAAAGAAGCAGAAAAAACGCCATGAGCTTTGGAAGGGCAGGGTCCGGCATAAGGGCTGTGGCAACCTGCTTCCCACTGGGGCCATGGGCCGATGGCACCACCCAAGGGGGCAGGGAGGGGGTGCCCAGGGTGCCTCCAGGGGCAGGGACCACAGCTGGGGCCCCAGCAAGGCCAGGGGTCGTCCCCTCCCTCATCAATATATGCTCCATGTCTGTGCACACAGGCCCACGCCGCTCTCAGCCCCCGGTCTGCCCCCTGCTCCCCCCCCCCCCACTTAGACTTCTGCCAACCAGTTCCTGCCCTCCCTTCCCTGCCAGCTCACAGCCCCGGGCAATACAGGTGTCCAAACACTCCTGACCCGCACCCGGGGGGACGTGCAAACACTCATACCGCCCTGCACCCTTGTGGATAACAGACAGTGGCACACACATGCTATTCCCGCAAACATGGACCGCCTCACCCTCCTGTGCACACACAGGCCCTGGCCACTCCTCTGTCCCTCAGTGCCCCCCCCCCCCCGGGCCAGGACCCAGACCCAGCTCCTCCTCTGAAGGCTGAGGGGTGGGAGCTGGGAAGGAGCCCCCCCTGAGGCTCCATGGGGAGCCCGGGGAGGTCAGGCCAGCCCGGAGGTCTCTGGCCCAGGGCAGGGGGAGCCTTCCCGGACCGGGGCCAGCTCCTGCCTGCTGCCCCGGCTCCATGACCTTGCTCCACGCCCTTGTCTCTCAGCCTCAGTTTCCCTGCCTTGGAGCCCATCTGGGCACCCACACTGTGAACCTCCTGGAAGTCCCAGCCGCCTGGGGCCGACCTCCCCTCCCTGCCCAGGCTCGGGTCTTGGGTTCCCTGTTCTCAGTGCCAAGGGTTTGGGGGTGGGCCAAGGGGCAGGAAAAATAAAAGGGGGGGTCCCCACCCCACCTTGGTCCTGGGGGGCGAGGGATCGTCTGCAGGGAGAGAGGGGAGCCCGGAAGGGGAACAGGAGGCCCCAGCGGGCTTGGGGTGGCCCGCGGAGGGCAGGGCGGGCGGGCGGGGGTGGGGGGGAGGCGGGAGCGCGGAGGGGGCGGGCGGGGAGGCGGGAGCGCGGCCAGCCCGGCCCAGAGCGAGCGGCGGGCGAGCCGGGAGGCGGTGCAGCCGGAGCCGCGGGGCCGGGGGCCGAGCGCGCCAGTGGGGCCGGCGGGAGGCGAGCAGCGCGGGGCCCCGAGGAGCGGCCGGAGCCGGAGGCCGGAGCGGGGAGGCCCGAACCCCCGCACCCTGCGGGGCCCGGGCCGGCAGCTCCCACCCCCGCCGCGGGAGGGGCGCATGGGCCGGCGGCCCGGGGCGCGGGGGCGCTAGGCGCCCCGGACGGACGGGAGCCGCTCGCCGCCGCCGGGCCGCCCTCCCCGGCCGCGCGCCCCGCCGCGCCCGCCGCCCCGGGGCCGCCGCCGCCGGCCCATGCGCCCCGGCCTCAAAGTTTGCGGCGCGCGGGCCGGCGCGGAGCCGCCAAGATGCCGTTCCACCCGGTGACGGCGGCGCTGATGTACCGGGGCATCTACACCGTGCCCAGCCTGCTGTCGGAGCAGCGCCCCGTGGACATCCCCGAGGACGAGCTGGAGGGTGAGTGCCCGCCCCGCGCCCCCCGCCCCCGCCCCCGCCGTCCTCCTACCTGCGCGCCAGGTGGGGCGCCAGCCGGGGGCGCCGGGGCCGCGGGGGGCGCAGGTGCCTGTGCCCGGGCGTGGGGCGCCAGGCGCGGGGGGCGCGGGGGGCGCGGGGGGCGCGGGTGCCTGTGCGCCGGGGCCGCGGGGGCAGGGGGGGCGGGAGGCGCGGGGGGCGCGGGTGCCTGTGCGGCGGGGGCGCGGGGGGCGCGGGCCGGGGGCGCCGGGGCCCGGGGGCGGGGGGCGCCGGGAGCCGCTGCGCAGGGCGGCCGGGCGGCCGGGCGCGCAGCCCGGGCGCCGGGGGAGGGTCTCGGAGGCGGAGGGCGCCCGGGCGGCGGCGCTGCGGAAACTTGCGGGTCCCGCCCGCCGCAGGGTCACGGGCCCGCGCAGTCCGCGGCGACAGTGCGGCACCGCGACAGGTTGGGGTCCGGGTCCGAGCTCCGGCGGCTCCGCGGCGGCGGCGGAGCGCCCCTGCGCCGGGTCCCCTCCGCGGCGCTCGCATTGGCATTCCGCGCGGGTAGCGGTCGCCATCCGCTCCGCTCGGCGGCGGGAGGGGAGGGGAGCGGCGGCTGCCCTGCGGCGGGACTGCCCGGGCCCCCTCCCCGCGGCCCGAGCCTCTCCCCGCGCGGCCGGCCCTGCGGGGGGACCCCCGCCCGGGGCTCGCGGGAGGCGGCGGCGACAACAAGTGGCCAGACCGGGCGGCTGGCGGCGATGACCGAGCGGGAGAGGGAGGCAGGGAGGCAGGGACCCCGCCTGCCCTCCCACCCGCCACCCCTCCGGGCGGGAGTGGGGACACCGCGGGGGACCGCACGCGGGGGTCTGGGTGAGACCGCGGTGGGGGGGGGGGCCCTGGATGGAGGATTCTGGGGAGCAGGGAGACCCTGTGCCGGGAGCTCCTTCCCTCCTGGGCTGCGGGCATGTGCTCCCCTGAATTCTCCATCAGACCTGGGGCCCCGCGTGGAGTGGAGCGGGGGGCTCTGGGCTGAGGGGAGTCTTGACACCCCTCCCCCTGTTGTTGGGGGAGGGGCGGAGGTCACCAAGAGGCTGGGCCTCTTCTGGGTCCCTGGGGACTAAGGGCCTCTGAGACCCGGGTTCAGCAGGGCCCGGGGGAAGGTTGCAGCCGAGACACCAGCGCAGTCAGGGATGATGGGGGGAGCACAAGCTCTGGAGGGGCAGGTCTTGGGGTGTGTGTGTGTGTGTTGGGGCGTGTCAGACTGGCTTAAGGGGAAGGTTACTGGGAGCGGGCAGCCCCTCTCTCCACGACTGCACCACAGGCTCCCAGCCACCTGCTCCTCACCAAGCCCTCCCAAATCTCCCCCAGGCCAGGGGCGCCTGGGAACGGGGCCTGGTGTCTGATGCGGGCAGGCCGGGTGCATGGGTGCTGCTGCGGGGTCTCTGGCCTTGAACCCCAAACCCAAACCCCTGCCCTGTGTGGGCTGAAGCCCTGGAACCCGAGCCTCATCCAGGGCCTGGAGCAAGGAGGGGGGTGTGATGAGGGGCGAGAGGGCCGGGGAGGGGGCATACGCTGTGTCTCCCCTAATGTCTCCTCCTGCCAGCGCCCCCTTCTGTAAGCTCGCACCCCTTCCTTCCTGCTGGCCCTTACCCCCCAGGCTGGCCAGCTACCACGGAGCTCTCTCCCCTCGCCCCTCCACCCCACCAGCACCCGGGCAGCCTGTCATGGGCCTCACGAGGTCCCGCTTCTCACCACCTCCCAGCCCTGCAATGAAGAGAAGGGGAGAAGCTGAGAGGAGCCTGGGGTGCAGGGGGGAGCGGGGTGCAGGACTGGCAGCGAGGGGGCAAGGAGGCCGGGCTGCAGCCTCCCCTGGGCTGCCTGGCGGCGGGCACACTGGCAGGAGCCCAGGAGCGTTAGTCACCAGCCACACCGAACGCCCTCCCTGCCTCTCCCCCGTCCTCTCCTTCTGGGCCCCGAGGAGCAGAGGGGGCTGGCACAGGGGGCATCTGAAGGGCAGGGCCCTCTCTGGCTTGGAGCAGGCGGATACCTGGGTGGCCCCAGCCCATCTCCCGGGCCCCAGGAGGGCCAGGAGCCCTCGCGGCCCGGCCCCTTTCTTGGCTGCCACCACCCTGAGAGTCCGCCTTGCAGGAGCCCGAGTCTCTGCAGGCCCCGGTGATCCTTGAATGCCAGGGCTGCGTGGCCAGGGTGGCCATCCCTGGCACAGCCTCCCCAGGGCCCCGTCAGTGCTTCTGCTCCCCCGGGCAGTCTGGGTAACACCCAGGCCCTGTCCTGGGAGGGTGCCCACGGTGGGGGAGCCCCGTGTGCCGAGAAGAGGAGCTGGCAGCTGGGGCTGCGGTGCTGCAGACAGGACGTGCCTGGCGCAGAAGCCAGGGGGCGGGCGGTCCGAGGTGGAGGAGGGCCGGGGAGGGAGGCGGAGAGCTCGGAGCCGGGTCTGAGCCTCTGCACCCTTGTCTCATGGAGCTACCTCGGCAGTCGCTTGCCTCTCTTGCCTCGGTTTCTCTGCCTGTAAAAGGGGTTTGGCACTGCCCTCCCCAGGGCTGCTGGTGGCAGAGGATATGACGGGCATGCTCAGTGTGGGCCCCCGAGGAGCCATGGGGGCGGGACAGACGCAGCATTAGGGGAGGCTGAGGAGGGGGCCTGCAGGGGTGAGAGGCTGGAGTGTAAGGGACGCAGGGTGTGCAGGGTGGGGAGGGGCTGGTGGAAGGGGCTGTGGGGTGGATGGGACCTCCTGCCCCTCATTTCCTCTCCCCTCCTCCCCCCAATGAGGGACTCCCAGCTTCTCCCTGACACACACACACACACACACACACACAGGCCCCAGGTTTGCAATGCTCAGAGCCTGCCCCAGCGGCGCCCTCAGCCTTGAGCACCTGAGCACGGGAACAGGGCAGCTCAAGCTGCAGCTCTGTCCTCTCGGGCTGGGGGCGGAGGAAAGAGACAGACAGACAGACGGACAGGCAGCCGCCAGGGCAGGGCTCTGAGCCGGGTCCTCGGCCCGCTCCGGGGGACCGAGGAGCCTCCACGGAGAGTGGCCACAGGGGGGCATTCATTCGGTGAACGGGGGTAAGGGGGCGCCATCCTGCTCCTTCCCTGCAAGCCCGGTGGCTGCCTCTGCTCGGGCCAGAGGCTCGGGGAGGCCAGAGTGACGGGGCACAGGGCCAGTGTCTCCGAGAGCCGCAGAGGGCGGCACTACCCACCCCTGCAGCCACCTGCCCCCCACCCCCAGCCCCGGACCCCAAGTCCCTGTCCGAGTGCTGGCATCCCCGGGGCCTGCTAGGGGCTCGGCCCTGACAGCTCCACGGGCCACCGGAGCTGGAGGCGTCAGGCCGGGGACGGCGTGGGCCTGGAAACCCAGAGGCCCTGCCAGCCCTTCCCGGGCCAGGAGTCCTCATGCCAAGATGGAGCTCAGCGGGCGCCCTCGGCCTCTCGGGCAGGGCAGAGCGCAGGGTCAGAGCGAGACTTTCGGGGAATGTGCAGCTGGGATGAGCCGCTGGCGGCGGCGGCGACAGGGACGTGGTGCCACCCACCCCACCCCCTCAGAGAGCCCCCTGCAGGCCCAGCCTGAGCGATGGGGCAGGAGCCGCCTTCCCGCTTCCCAGGTGAAGCCCCTGAGGCTCAGAGAGGGCGCGGCCTTGCATTCCAGCTGGCCCTTCAGCTGCTGAGGCAGAGCTGGGCCTCCAGGCCAGGCCCCGGGAAGGCCACGCTGGTGATGGAGCCCACCCAGCCTCCCTCTCCTCCCCGCTCCGCTGTCCATGCCGTGCTCGTTTGCGGTGTCCTGTTCTGAGTCACACACGGCCGGCCCCGTTAAGCCCTCACACCCTCCGTGTTCATGTTTGGTCACCCCGCTGCCCGCCAGACAGGTGAGCCAACACTGGCCAAGGTGACCCGGCCAGAATGCAGGACAGCTGGGGTTTGAACCGGCGTCTGCGTGACTTAGAGCTGACTCTCTGGCTGAAAAGCGGGTCCCTGAACTGGGCCTCAGGAGTCAGCTGGGGCTGGGGCAGGGCTCTGGGCATGGACAAAGGTACAGGGGCAAACCTCAGGTGCCAGCTGGTGTGCCAGGGAGGGGAGGCGGGAGGGCAGGAGGGACGGGGAAGTGGCAGTCTTTGGATGTATCAGGTGATCTTAGGAGGCTAGTCTTATCTGAGAAATGGCTGTGGGGCCCTGACTGGTTTGGCTCGGTGGATAGAGTGTCGGCCTGCGGACTCAAGGCTCCCAGGTTCTATTCCGGTCAAGGGCATGTACCTTGGTTGCGGGCACATCCCCAGTAGGGGGTGTGCAGGAGGCAGCTGGTTGATGTTTCTCTCTCATCCATGTTTCTAACTCTCTATTCCTCTCCCTTCCTCTCTGTAAAAAATCAATAAAATGTATATTTTTTTTAAGAAAAAAAAAAAAAAAATGGCTGTCGGGCCCAATTGGCTACCGCTAGGTCTGTGGCCTGCCCCCTACCCACAATCCCCTGACCTCCACTGCCTCCCATCCGGCCGGGGCTCCCAATGGAAGCGGCCCTGCTGTGCCTGGCTACATGGCCAGTGTCCTCGTCTCCCTCGTCTCCCAGCAGAGACTCCCCGGCCCCGGATGTCCCTCTGCAGCCTCCGTACTGCCAGGCCTCTGCTCACGCACCTCCAGGCACGGGGAGCTCACCACCCTCCGGGGCTCAGGAAACCTCCGGGTGGGAGTTGGCTGAGGCTCCCCGAGTCTGGGGACCTCCCATCCCAGCTGCTCCCCTGTAGCCTGTCAGGTGGTGGGCAAACTTTGGCCCCTTGAGTGTGGCTCTTCCACAAAACACCACGGCCTGGGCGAGTCCATGTTGAAGAAGAGATAGAAGAAGTTTAAGTTTAAAAAAATGTGGTTCTCCAAAGAAACGTCCATCGTTGCGCTGTTGATATTTGGCTCTGTGGACGGATGAGTTTGCCGACCGCTGTTTGGGAGTCAGAGCACCTGGGGGCAGAGCAGGTGCGGCTTGCTGCCTCCGTCTGGCCCTGCGTGCTGGCTGCTCTCTCCTCCGGGCCTCGGGGGCAGACCCCAGCGGGGAAGAACCTGGTGAGGCTGGGGCCTCGGTCCCAGCCGCCTTGCTGTGTGGCCTGGGACACACGGCTGCCCTCTCTGGGCCCTCGTGGGATTAGCAGGATCAGGGAATGACCCCCAGGTGTGGGAACCCACAGTCAAATTTTGTTGTTTTTTTTAAAACATATTTTATTGATTTTTTTTTACAGAGAGAAAGGGAAAGGGATAGAGAGTTAGAAACATCAATGAGAGAGAAGCATGGATCAGCTGCCTCCTGCACACCCCCTACTGGGGATGTGCCCGCAACCAAGGTACATGCCCTTGACCGGAATAGAACCTGGGACCCTTGAGTCCGCAGGCTGATGCTCTGTCCACTGAGCCACACCGGTTAGGGCCACAGTTAAGTTTTTAGGGGTTCACAGACCCCTAAGGCCAGGCCCAGGCCAGCCTAACGTCTGCCCTCACCAGTGACCTCCCACTGACCCTGGACTGCCCACCTCGTCTTCCTGGGCCTCATTTTCCAGGTCCGCAGCCTCAAGATGTCAGTCAGTATCCAAATATGCATGTATGTACACACCACACACGTGTGCACACCTGAGCTCGCTCTGCTGCCGTCCCTCCCGGGAAAACACTTGAGCAGAGGCGGGTGGGGGAAGGCAGCAGGTGAACTGAGTAAGGAGTGGGAGCAGAGGGTGCGAGTGAATTGAGATCCGTTCTCTCCCAAAGGAACACGCTGCTCGGGGCCATCCCGGCTGAGAACCGGGGGAGGGACAGCAGAGACACAGAGGCGGCGTTGGGAAAGGCTAGGACCCTCCCCAGTCATGGGTGCCCTCGGGAAATCCCTTGTCCTGACACCGTGTGCACCCATTTCCCTGGGGGTAAGCCTGAGGCCCACCCAAGGCCACTCCTCGGGGTGCTCACTCCCAGCCCACTGCACTGCTCTCCCTCTCTGTGTAATGGAGTAAGGGGAGCGACCCCACACCTGAGCTGGCCAGCGCCTGCTGGGCCCTTCCCTCTGGGCTCCAGGGCAGTCTGCTGAGCTGTGAGCCCCCAGGGCTGCCTCACGTGGCCGCCATCACCGGTTAACGAACGAACGAACGGGCTGAGCGAGCTGAACCGCTGAGCTAGGGCTGGATGTGTGGAATGGGGACAGGGAGCGCGGGGGTGGATGGAAGGAGTGCGGGTGCCTGGCTTCCTCCCCGCACAGGGGGAGCCCTGGTTCCTGCCATAGGGGGTCGCTGTGAGGACGCCTGGAGGGGCTGTGAGGCCTGGGGCACTGACACTGAGGCCCTGGGCAGCCTCACTGGGGAGTGGGGGGCGGGGGAGGGAGGGGAAGCGGATGGATGGCTGAGGGCCTGGGCACTCCTCTGCTGCTCACTCTGCCCTGAGCTCCCCAGCCGTGTGCTGTGCGGACTCCCGGGCCACCTGCCCAGACCTGCAGGCTCCGGTGGACGCGGTGCTGGGCTCAGGCTGCGGGTTTGGGGGTCCTCGTGGTCCGGGAAGCGGGGTGTCAGGAGCAGGAGTGACGCCCCCACCTGCTCTGCCCCCCGCAGAGATCCGAGAAGCCTTCAAAGTCTTTGACCGCGATGGCAACGGCTTCATCTCCAAGCAGGAGCTGGGCACGGCCATGCGCTCGCTGGGCTACATGCCCAACGAGGTGGAGCTGGAGGTCATTATCCAGCGGCTGGACATGGACGGTGAGCTGAGCGCCGCCCTCCCCCCCCCAGGGCCCGTTTTCTCTCCCTCCACCGGGTGGGGGGGGCTGTGGCAGGAACCGGGGGGACTCGCTCCCCCGACTAGCAGCCGCCCCTAACCAAGCCCTTGGCTGCTGACAGCCAGAGTGTGAGCGCCCCAGCCATGCCGAGGTCAGTATTGACCTCGAGGTCAGAATACAGGCACCCCCCCCCCCCCCCCCCCCGTCTTGGTCTGTCTTCTGAAAAAACTTAAGTTGGAAAAGTAAAAAGAAGTATATTCTCAACAGCCCAGGTGCCATTCAAAGAAATAAATAACTCAGTTGTATTTGCCGCCTGCCATTTATTGTGGGAGAACTCCCAAGGAGCAGGAATGCCCGGTCCCCTCCTTCGCCCCCCCCTGAACCCCCACTTCCTCCACCCAGAGCAGGCGGTGGCCTGGGCAGCTGTCCCGTCCTGAGCTCCGTCTCCTGTCTGTGGGGGGACATCAGGGCCTGGGAAGCCACGGAGGCTCTGAGTGAAGCGTGAGGCTCCCCCTGTGCTCAGGGCCCCCTGTCCATTCCACCCCCACCCCCACCCCCACCCCCACTTCCACCTCCACACAGCCTCACATCAGCCTGGAGCCTGGCACATTAGGTGCCCCTGACACTGGCCAGGCATGGAGGAAGGGGCCCTGCCCGAGGCTGGCCGGGCGCAGGCTGACCTGCCGATTCGCCCTGTGCCCACCCCAGGGGACGGCCAAGTGGACTTTGAGGAGTTCGTGACCCTCCTGGGCCCCAAGCTGTCCACCATGGGCATCCCGGAGCGGTTCCACGGCACCGACTTTGACACCGTCTTCTGGAAGGTACGCCGGCAGGTGGGCGGGGCCGCGCATGCCGGAGCGGCCGGGGGCGGCGGGGCCGTTGGGGGGGGGGGACCAGTCAGTCTCTGGCCCCGGGCTCAGGGGGAGGCTGGGAAACGGAGCCAGTGGCCCCCAGCCTCCTGGGACCGGGGGTCCTCCCGGCGGCTGGGGGAGGCTGCGGGCCTGGCGGGGACCGGCGGCCGCGCTGGCCTGAGCCAGCTCTGCGTCTCCTCCCGAAGTGCGACATGCAGAAGCTGACGGTGGACGAGCTGAAGCGGCTGCTGTACGACACCTTCTGCGAGCACCTGTCCATGAAGGACATCGAGAACATCATCATGACGGAGGAGGAGAGCCACCTGGGCACGGCCGAGTGCCCCGTGGACGTGGAGAGTGAGTGGCCGATGCAGGAGGGGGGCGGGCGGAGGGGCCCCGGGCCCGGCCCGAGTGCAGCGACGCGGGCGGCTCCGGCTCACAGCGCCCCGCTGTCCCCTCTTGTCTCTCCTGCTCCTGGCGGCGGCCACAGCCTGCTCCAACCAGCAGATCCGCCAGACGTGCGTGCGCAAGAGCCTCATCTGCGCCTTCGCCATCGCCTTCATCATCAGCGTCATGCTCATCGCGGCCAACCAGGTGCTGCGCAGCGGCATGAAGTAGGCGCCGGGGGACCCCCTCCCCCCGCAGCCCCTCCCCAGGCGCCCCAGGCCTCCGCCCCCCCCCCCCGGGCCTCCGCCGCCTCCTGTACTCTGGGGCCTGGAGGTCCGGCACCCCCACCCGCCGTGCATGGGGCTGAGGCCCAGCGGTGAGGGCCTGGGGGTGGCTCTGAGGACGGCCTCCAGCCCCGCCGGCATCCTGCCCCTGCCTCGCGCCCCCTCCCCCGCCCCCCCCCCCGCCTGTATGTAGCACTAACTCTCCCCCCCATGTCCAGGGGCTCCTGGGAGATTGAGGAGGAACTGGTACAGGCCCAGGAGCTGCTGTGACCCCGCAGGCAGGAAGGGGCCCCTGTGCAAGGGTCTCACAGCCAGCCTGACGCTGGTCCCGAGGTTTGGGTCATAGGCAGGGGGTGGACAGCCTCTTCCTGGGGGGGGGGGGGCGGGGGCATGAGGCCAGCGCCTCCTGGGCTCTGCGCCTTGGCATTGGCTCAGGCCCCTGGCCTTCTGCTGGGCCCCACTCTCTGCCCCTCCTTAGACTTAACCCAGCCCGTCACACCCACTGGCGAGACACTCAGCCCGTGTCACAGGGGAGAGCTCAGAGCGTCCCCGGGTTTGGCCTCAGTTCCCACGTCTACAGGATTCCAGGAAGGGCAGCTCTCAGAGGGGGCACCTGAGGGGGCCCTGCAGCCCCCCCCCCACACCCGCGTTCCCCCCAGGGCCTGAGGGCTACGTTGCCCCCCCTCTGCATCCCCCCAGCACAGGGTGAGAGCTGGAGCACAGCCAGGAGGGAAGCACAGCCAAGAGGCTCCCAGCGGCCTGAGCAGCCTGATTCCCCATGGGCCGGCCTCCTCCAGGGCAGACGCCCATCGGGGCTCAGGCCTGGTCCGGAAGCTCACCCAGGGCCTGCCTTCCTGGGCCCCCCATTCTCCACACCGACCAGGCAGGAGACCCAGCTGCCACCCCTGCCCTGGCTGAGCCATGTCACGCTTGGCACCAGCTCAGCATGGACGGACGTGGGCACCGGGAACGGCAGACCGAGCCCTGAGATCTCTCCCCAGATCGGAAGCCGCTTCTCGAAGGGGAGATGGTCTCAGCCACACCGGCCCCCCCGCTTCCGGCCCCCGGGGAGCAGGGCAGCGAGCCGGCCGCCCTGGAGGAGACCTCCGGTCACTCCAGCCTGCCCATCCTCTCACCAGAGGCCAGGGCAGCGCCGAGGGCACCGGGCAAGGGGGACGCGTAGCCATATCGCCATAGTGACACTTTGTTTATACACATCCAGCAGGCAGTCCCCTCACCCGTCTCGTCAGGAGGTCCCGGGAGGGAGGGAGGGAGGGGCGAGCTGACTGGCCAGGCCAAGCCCGTGGCTGCAGAGGCTCCGTGGGACCTCGGCGTCCCCAGCAGGAGCCCCTGTGTTCGCTGTGTCTGCCGCGGGGGCTCACCCGAAGGGGTCAGGGGGCCTGAGGCACTAGCCCCACTGGACGCGGGGCTGCAGGGGCCACCCCCCGGGCGGGGGTGCCCGCAGGGACGGAGGCAGCTCCTGCACTGGGGGCCAGCCGACAGGGTACTGGAAGACGGTGGCTCTGATGGGTTCAGCCCTGGAGAGGAGCAGAAGGCAGGCAGAGGGTGAGCGTGGGGCACGGCCGGGCAGGCCCGGGCTGGGGCACTGCCCCGATCACCCTCTGCCACGGGAGGGCAGACCTTTCTGGAAAGCAGAGCCCCCCCCTCCACACACACACACACACGGCAGAACCCCCTGGGCCAGCAGCCTCCCCTCTGGGAACGGGCCCGGCACAGGGGGCTGCGGGCAGGGGCTGGGGGGCTGGCAATAGCCGGAGAGTCCCCCCGGGGCCTGGTACCTCCACGTGCACGCCCCCCGCCGCCTGTATGCACCGAGGAAGGGGTCCTGGCGCGTGTGTGAGCAGTAGAAAAAGCAGCTTATAAAAATGTATATAGCATGACACTATTTTTGTTGAAAGATATATAACATATATAAATGCATAAAAATCCTGAAACAACAACGTGGTCACAGCCGTTCTATCCGAGCGATGATGGGTGTGTGTGTTTGTTTTTTAAAAGTTTTATAGGCACGAAAGCCTTTGACAACCTCTCCCCTCCTCCCCCAATACTGTATAACTTTAAAAAAAAAAATAGTTTCTCAAGTTATCTCCTCTCCTCCCACCCCTGGAGGCATGTCCGTAGGGGAACCTGGGGCCTGTTGGAAGTGCCCGCCCTGTCCCGGGACCGACTGAGGTGCAGAGGCAGCTCCCCACATCCCAGCCCCTCGGGGTGTGACTCCCTCAGGCTGCCGCTCCGGGGAGCACTGTGGCCTGTGAGGTCTGGAGAGGACTCAGGCCTCTGAGGTGGAGCTGGGGGGCCGGGGACAGGAGGCCCAGCGGTTTGCCTCGCTGTACACACACTCCCTCCCCCAGAGCCCATCTGAGGCCTGTGGGCAGCCCGGGCGCACCCTGGGGCCTCTGGCTGCGGGAGGAGGGGAGTCCCTCAGCGGCTGCTGCTCGTGGGGCAGCGCAGAGAGCAGCTCTGGCGTTATTTGCGGCTCCTCCAGGAGGTTTCCTAACCCCCCAGCCGGGAGGCTCCTGGCTGCTGGGAGGGACGGCCCGGCTGCCAGCCAGGCCGGGCGCCCTGCAGGGCTGGGGTGAGCACAGTTCTCCACAGAGAGGGCTGACCCTGGAGCCCCTTCTCCTAGGAGGGCCAGGTTCCTGGGCAGCAGGACTCAGCCCCGAGGCCTCCCGTAGGGGAGGGCACCTCCACGTGTGCTCACAGACACAGGCCCCGGCCCGGCCCGGGGCGGACAGGGACCCCGCGTCGCACGGGGGCCTGTCTGTCCCGTGCACAAGCCCAGCCCTGGGCTCAATCAGGAGGAGGGCTCAGGATGGACGGGGCTGCACCCGCAGCGCCGGCCCAGCCAGGAGCGGGGTGCGAGGGGGAGATTAGGAGGATAAAGCACAATCTGAAGAGCCAACAACAGAGGGCAGTGACCAGCGGGGCCTCGCGGGGGATTAGTCCGCTCCGCTGAGGCCAGCCGCCCCTCCCCGCCCGCCGCCCTGGCAGGTCCCTCAGGGTCAGGAACGGGGCGCAGTGCCAGGCTGGGCCCCGGAGCCTCCATCCCCCCCTTACAGGACGTGCCGGCTCCCCCTGAGGGCTCTGCTTGGGGGGAAAGGGCGCCGGAGTCTGGGTGGCTCTAGGGAGGAAACACACCCAGAGAGGAAGAGGGGCCCCCAGGCCAGTCCCCACAGGGGCCCCAGCACTAACACAGGATCCAGCCCTCCAGGCCGGGGATCCTGCTCCCCCAAATGCTCTCATTTGTCCACACGCCATCCTGCGGGCCCACAGGACAGCAGTACAAGCGCAGGGCTGAGGGGAAGCCTGAGGCTGGAAGAGGGGGTGTCTCAGCTGAGCCTGAGGATGTGTCGGACTTGGCAGGCATGGCGGGTGGGGGGCAGCCCCGGGCTGAGGTGACCGAGCTCAGAAACGCTCAGTGGCACCGACATGGAGGCCCGATGGGGGAGGTGAAGGGTGACCCCCTGAGGTGGAGGGGCCCAGGAGGGTTCGGCAAGGCCAGGCGGCGTGTGGCTGAGGAGCTGGGCTGCTGTGAGGACGGACAAGCTGGGGGAGAGAGGGGGGGCAGCGGCCAGGAGGGGCCGGAGACGGAGACGAGGAGGGGCTGGTGTTTGAAGGTCACAGAGAGCCTTCGTCCAGGGCTGCCTCGAGGGGGGAGACCCGGCGGACGGAGCAAGGCCCCAGACAGGGAAGGGGCGGGCTCCAGTCCCCCTCCCGCCACCCTCTGGGCCCAGGACTCAGGCGTCATTTGTCACGAGACCAGCCCGAGGGACAGGGCAGCAAGGGCACAGACGAGAACAAATGTTCCTCTCCCTCCGAACAGCCTTGCTCCTCAGGCTGGACAGACCTGCGCAGCCCAGAGTAATCCATTTGGCTCCGAGCCCGCCGGAGGCAGGTGGACGGCAGGTGGACGGGGAAGAGGTGGTGCCGGGAAAGCAGGAAGGGGCTGGGGAGAGGCTCGCATCCTCTAGGGTCTGGGGGTCCCCGGTTGCAGGCTCTCTTTCAGAAACAGCCGGGAGGGGAGCAGCGGGGGAGGAGCACGGCTCAGGGAGCACCGTGCTGGGCGCCCAGGCAGCTAGCTCACCCCAAGGAGAAGGGTGGGCGGAGTGGGAGAGCAGGGAAGCCCCCCAGAGCTCTGTGGGGGGGTGCGGAACGTACAGGCCTGGATCAGGAGGGCCAGCCCCGGGGGTGCCAGAGAAGGGGGCGCGGGAGGAGGGCCCGGTCGGAGGGCACGCAGGGGGCCGTACCTGCTGCTCGGGGCCGAGCTCAGCCGCTTGGCCCTCCTCTCCAGCCAGTCCTCCAGGGGGCCCTCGGGGAGGTCCGCCATGTCCAGGGGCCACTCCCGGGCCCGCCGCTCCGCTGAGGGGATGGGAAGCGGAGGCGAGTGAGGGGCAGTTCCCCCCACCCCGGATCCCAGCCTCCCCCAGGGAGGTCCCTCCAGGGAGGGCGCAGGCGGGAGCCAGGAGCAGCCCGGGCCTGTCCCCGCCACCGCCACCTCCCAGGCCGCCCCCCTGGGCCTCACTCTGCCCCCCCACCGGACGGACGGGGCCTGCAGGAGCCTGGGCCTCGGGAGGAGGGGCCCCTGAGGCAGGTGGGTCTCGGCTCGGCTGATGCCAGGCCTCCGACCCTGGGCCGGAGCAGCTCAGCTTTCCCTCCTGCCCTTCTCATGAAACGTCCCATAAACACCTTCGCTCACTGAATGCAGCTGAGCGACAGGTGAGTTCAGACGCGCTGGGTGTGAGGTGGGCTGGGGGGGGGGGGGCCTGTGAGGGGGCGGGGACGGGTGGTAAGGATGAGCCTGGGGCCGGAGGAAGCCCCTCCTGGTGGACCTGTGCTTCCTCTGGGCCGGCCTGGCCAGCCCTGCGTGTGCGTGGGCTCACTCCAGCTCAGAAGCGGCCGTATCCACAGGCCCAGATGCTGCCTCTGGGATTAAGTGCCAAGGTCACACAGCGGCGGGTAGCAGAGCCAGCTGGGGGCGTGTCTCTGCTCCCGGCCCCCTCCCCCCTCTCCCCTCCCCCTCCTGGCTCCACTAGGTGTGGCCTCCAGCTGCAGGCTGACACCCACCCCTCACCCAGCGCCGTCAGCCCACCCCACACGGGAGGTGAGGAGGGACAGGCTGCTCCCCAGCCTCAGCTCTTGCACTCTCCCCCAGCCCCTCCCTCCGCCCTCCCCCCCACCGGCCCCTGGTCCCGACCAAAACGCACCCTCCACCTGGATGCTCAGCTCCTGCAGGTCCCGCTCGGACATGTGGGAAAATCTGCAGTTGGGGCCAAAGTCACACTGGCCTGCAAGGGGGGGACAGAGTTACTGGCCGCTCTGGCAGGGAGGCCCGCTGTGGGCTGGGGTCACTGGAGGTCTAGGGGAAGGCTTCGGGGACTCGGGAGCGGCAACGCACCCCGGAAGCAGAACCTGACCCTCTGGCCTGAGCCGGCGCCACCTCCAGGAGCCGTGCGCCCTCCACGGGGGGGCCCAGGGGAGGCCCCCGGTCTGCAGGCCGGGGGGGGGGGGGGGGGGGCCAGGCTGGGATAGCACCGCCCCCTGAGCTCGCTCCTGGGCCCGCAGCAGCGGCTCTCCCCAGCGCTGCGTCTTCACACCCGTCAGTCACGGCGGCTTTCCTCTTTGCCATGGCCGCCAGGAAGCTCAGGGCCAAGCCCTCAGAGAGCGCACGGCCCTCGGGGCAGGCGTGGAGGAGACGAAGGCTCCGTCTTACCTCTCTGGCCCTGATTTTCCTCGGCCGTGGCCTCACGGGCTGAGGTTTTATCTCGGAGACTGAGCGGTCCGATCAACACCTCGCGCCCTTGGCTCTGCCTCTGCACCTGCTGGCACTGCCAGCCTGCTGCCCCTCCAGCCCTGCTGCCGGCTCACTCCACCCGCCAGGCTAGCACCCCCATGGCTGTCTCTCCAGGGTTACTGGCCCTCTCCCAGGTTTGCTCGCTTCGGCCGAGCTGATAAAATCCCCATCGGGGTCTGAAGATCCGAGGACCAGCCCCCGGAACGCCTCAGGCACAACCCCGGGGCGGGGGACACCCCACCTGACCCGGTTGCTGAGGCTCCAAGGCCACCGCGTGGGTTCAGGACGGTGGCCGGGGTGGGGCGGAGGTCCGAGCAGGCCCCGGCGCCCGGCAGGCTGGCCCGGGGGAGGGACAGGGCAGGGAGGGGGCGGGGCAGGAGCGGACTGAGCGGGACAGGTCACCTGTCAGCAGAAACTTCCTGCAGGGCCGCTTGTTCTGTTCGTCCAGCAAGATGGCAGCCGCGTCTGTGGGAGGAGAGGGGAGGGGCTGGGCTCCCCGTCCACAAAGGGATGGCCTCAGGCGGGGACGCTGGGCGGAGGGGTCTGAGCTCCGGGTGACCTCGACCCCGCCCGCCCGCCCGCCCACCCGCCCTGCCCAGGCCTGGCCGAGGGCAAGCTTCCTGTCAGAGGCTCTGGCCTCGGCAGGCAGAGTCGCCTGGGAGGGCTGGGTGGTTGTGTTCTTGGTTTTTAAACCCGGTACCACAAGGTCTTTCTGCCCTGTCGCTGCCACCTCTTAGAAGTCTATAATTACTCCAAAATAGAAGGCTAAAAGCACGTCTGGTGCCCAGGAAGCTGGACCCAGGCCCTGCTCCACAGGCAACACCCCCCCCTCCCCCCTGCCCTGCACACCGGCCGCGGGCTCTCGGTCCCCGGCCTCGACAGACTGGCAGCGATCTCTCTGGATACAGGGCTTCACCTGGTTTCTTCCCATTTTCCCACTTATTGTCGTCGTATATTTGTGGGGTAAATGTGTGCTTCTTCGTAGGCAGAGATTCGATCCGTCTAAATCTGGGAGTAAGACACGCGAGCAAGGTGCCTGGCTCAGAGGCCTGGTGCCACCTGGGGCTGGGACACTGGCCCAGGCCCCCGGGGGTAGGACAGCGAGGCTGGCAGGATGGCGAGCCTGTGCGAGGGGCTCTGGCTGGGCGGCTCGGACCGAGAGGAGGCGGCCAGGCTGCCCAGCACCTGGCGGGTGGCTGTCAGCCCGGGCCACACGCAGTCTCAGCGGGCAGCTATTCAAGTTCACGGGTGCCCAGCCGGTCCCTCTCGGCTGTGCTTCCCTCCGTCGGCGGGGAGGACGTGGGAACTGTCAAAGCTCCCGGAGGCTCCGGAGGGCCCCGCGCCCAGGCCGTGCCCTCCGCCCGGCGTCCGAGGCGCCTCGTGATCCGACCCCCCTGGTCCTTCTCGCCTCATCTCCCAGCATTAGCGCCGGCCCTGACGCTGTGTCTGTTTGCTCGTGCATTTAGACGTTCGCCTGCAAACACTGCCGAGCACGTCCTGGGTGCAGGCGCCGGGCCAGGATGAGGATTTAGTGGAGAACAAGGCAGACCTGGCCCGCCCTTCCAGGCCAGCAGACACACTAATCCACGCGGGTGTAAACGGGGCACACAGCGTGAGGCCAGATGACCTGTGTGTGTGTGTGTGTGTGTGTGTGTGTATGTGTGTGTGTGTGTGTGTAGAGGGGGAGGACACCCTGGAGGACTCTGCCAGGCCGAGGGCAGGGAGGGCGTGTCTGCAGAGAGTGCAGGGATGGTGGTGGCCGGTGTGGCTGGAGCTCAGAGGAAGAGGTCAGCCGAGAGTCTGGGACTAGGGGCGAACAGCAGGGTGCTCTTGAGGCCCAATTCCACGCCAGGTCACAGCCCCCCGGGATTTGGGGGACAAGGCCTGACACCAGGCACCCCCACTCCCAGACCCCGGCCACAGTCATGTCTGGCCACCTGCCCTCCTCCGAGCCTGTCTGAGATGGGGAGAGCCAGGGAGAGCTTTCAGAGCGCCCCGCCCAGGCCCCGCCCACACCTGCCGCCGCCGGGGCGGTCAGGGGACCCTTGTTAAGTTCAAGGTCCCCCGGTGATCCTCACCCCGCTGCTCTAGAGAATCACCGAGAAAAGCGAAGGGAGACACCTGGCGTGCAGCAGGCACTCGATAAATGCTCACCCCTTCTTGTGAATCTGAGTCAATGACCAGGGAATTCTGTCTGTCTCACTTTCTCCTCCCTTCTCAGCTGCTGGGACCCCACTCCTTCCCCCAGGCCTGGCCTGGCCTGTCCCCAGTCCTGCTCCCCAGGTCCCCCCGAGACCGGACCTGCCTTGGGTCATCGCAGGGGCTCTCCGTCCCCTTCGCCCACTGCCCAGTGCCCGCTCCGTCTGACCTGCTCCCGGCTGACCCCCCGGCCCGCCCCCACTGCTGCTGGTGTGATGCCAACGACAGGCAGGGCGGCTCCTGCGGAGTGCCGGGGCCAGGCCTGTGCGCGGCGCCGACAGCCTCGGCCCTGCCCCTGTCACAGCGCGGGTGGCCTTTCCCGGAGGAAGCTGGCTACTCAGCGTCCGTCCAGCCAGGCGTGCAGCTGCCACTCCCCGCGCTCCGCTGCTCACCGGCGGCCGGCCATCACTGTCACAGGAAGCTCTGGGCACAGCGGCTGCGGCACACAGCTCCTCGGAGGCCGCTCTCTGCCCTGAGCGCGCCTGCCTCTGAGTGCCCTCTGCCCGGAGCGGTGCGGCTGGCCTTCCCTGTCCCTCCGGGCGAGCCGACCTCCGGGCCTCAGCACCCAGAGCCTGGCGAGGCCCCTCCGCGCGGGGCCACGGCGGCCAGGAGCCCCCGCGCCCGGGGGCAGGCCCCGTTCCCGGCCGGCGGCACCCACCTCGGAACATGTCGTACCAGGCCTTCTTGGCCTTGAGGTGCTGCAGGCCGTTGAGGTGCTTCTTGCGGTTGTGCAGGTTGTCCTGGAAGGAGCGGTCGCAGTAGTCACAGAAGTACCGCTTCCCCATGGCGCCCGCGGGCTGCCCTGCGGGGGGGGGGGGGGCACAGAGCGGTCAGGTGCTGCCCTGCGGGGGGCACAGAGCAGTCAGGGCTGCCCTGCGGGGGGCACAGAGCGGTCAGGTGCTGCCCTGCTGGGGGGAGGGGAAGGGGGACAGAGTGGGTCAGGGCTGCCCTGCGGGGGGCACAGAGCAGGTCAGGGCGGGAGGGACCGCCACCCCGGAGCCCACTCATGTTGCCCCGACGGAGTGCTCCCTGCGGGCCAGGCCGGGCTGTGCAGAGAGCCTTTCCAGACTCCCCGCACCTCACTGAAAGCTCACCACGGCCGTGAGGGGCTGCCCGGGACTCATCCCGGGGGGTCTCTCATGGTTCCGATGCCCGGCCTCCACCCCAGGCCAGTTAAAGCAGCACCAGCGTAGGCGAGGCCTGGGCATCACCATTTTTTAAAATTTCATGTCACCCTGAGTGGTTCGGCTTAGTAGATAGAGCGTCGGTCTGCGGACTGAAGGGTCCCAGGTTTGATTCCGGCCAAGGGCATGTACCTTGGTTGTGGGCACATCCCCAGCAGGAGGTGTGCAGGAGGCAGCTGATCGATGTTTCTCTCTCATCGATGTTTCTAACTCTCTGTCCTTCTCTCTCCTTTCTGTAAAGAATCAATAAAGTTTTTTATTTTATTTTAATTTTCCACATGTTGCCAGAGAACCACCACCTTACCTCCTCTCGCCAGCTGCCATCCTTACCCTCTGATCTCTCCACTGTCTCTCCACGCAGGCCTCCCCTCTGCTCCGCACGCCCGCCAGCCCCAAGCCCACCTCCCAGCTCTCCCCGCTGCTCCCTCCGCCTGCAGGCCCTCCCTGGTACCTGCCAAGCTCGCTCACTCGACTCCTTCAATCTCCGCTCAGACACTGCCTTCTCAGGAAGCGACCGTGACCACTTGACTTAAAATGGCAGAATCCCACCCTGCACTTAGCGCTCCCCGTTTCCTGCCCCCCGCGCCCCCCCCCCCCCCCGGCACCCCCTGTGCAGCAATAGTCCTGGTTCCGCTCGCTGTCTCTCCTCCCGGCGGGAAGGGAAACGCAGGGCTATTTCTGTTCCCTTTATCGCCGAAGCTCCAGCGCCCAAAGTGGTGATGGCGCACGGCAGGCAACCAAATAGTTGTTTGTTTGTCTTTTTAAAAATATATTTTACTGATTTTTCACAGAGAGGAAGGGAGAGGGATAGAGAGCTAGAAACATAGATGAGAGAGAAACACCAATCAGCCGCCTCCTGCACACCTCCCACTGGGGATGTGCCTGCAGCCAAGGCACATGCCCCTGACCGGAATCGAACCTGGGACCCTTCAGTTCTCAGGCCGACGCTCTATCCACTGAGCTATACCAGCCAGGGCAGGTCCTATACCCGAGTTTCACAGAGCAGGTTCCTGAGCCCAGAGGGCCAAGACCGGTGGCTGCCCCAAGGCCGTGAGGCAGCAGCTCAGGTGGCAGCACCAGCTGGACTCCCAGGATCTGCATATAAATACAGAGCTGGGCCTGACCACGGGACGGACTGACGGGGAAACGCATCTTGTCCAGAAGAGGCTGGAGGAAGACAAGACGGACAAGCCCCCGGACAGGCCGGGCGGCCGGGCGGCCGTGCGGGGAGCGGGGAGCGCGGGCCTGGGGCAGCCGGGGCCGGCAGCCATTAAGTCCAGGGCGCTAATGGGATTAGGAACCGACAGTCATTCCAAATGAAAACATACAAAACCTCTCTTTCCTCCTGTTACTGCTGAGAGACCGCATCCCAGACACACCGAGTTGATATATGAAATTTGGCAGCTCTAATACACCCGTCTTGCCAATAAACTTATAGGAACTGGATTGAAATGGCGAGAGATGAATGTTTAACGGCCAAGCCATTCACGAAGCCTGAAGCGCCCGCCGTGGTGCTGTGGCTCCGGAGAGTATCGTGGAGAGGAGGGGAGGGGAGGGACTGGGAGGGGGTCCCTCTGGGAGGCGGAGCCGGAACGGCCGCTCTGCAGCGGACTCAGCTGGACGGAGCCACGCAGGCACCGAGCAGCAGCTGTGTGACCTCGGGCAAGTCACTGCCCCCCTCAGGCCTCTGCTTTCCCTGCAGAAATGGGTCCGCCTGGCTGCCTCTGGGGAGCGATACACAGACATTTGCTTCTCCCAACGAATCATCAACCGCAGAAGTAGGAGCAATACAAACGGCACTGGCCGTGCCCGCACGGAGCCGGCGCTGTCAGTGCCACCTGGCGCCTGGCGGGCTGTGCACCTGCCGTGCTGGCTCCGGGTTAAACGCTCTGTAAACGGCATCGTCTCAGGACACCTGTGTGCTGGGACCGGTGACGGCTTTTCAGAAGAGGGCACTGCGGCTCAAGCCTGAATCTGGGGACCATGCCAACGAGGATGGATGAGGAACAGCGAGAAGAGAGGCCCTAAGACCCGAAGGCAGGCCTCTTGGCCACCTCCAGCCTCCCCAGCCCCACTTAGCCCACACCCGGCCACCCATGGCCCCTGCCCCCCGAACTCTGGGCTCCAGGAGGAGATGGCCAACTGGTGGGGACACTGGGACAGAAGGAAGGGTAAAGGGGTGAGCTGGGGCGAGGGGAGAGCTGCGGCTCGGACTCCTGCGTGCGGGGCCCTGGCTCACCCTCCCGTCCAGCCCTCGGAGGCCGCCCCCTGGAGGTGAGCTTTTGCAGAGGAGGACCAGGCTCAGAGGAGAGACGGAGCAAGGCCACGTCCCACCCGCCCTGTGCTGCTGGCGGGGAGCCCCGCGCCCCGGGAGGCTGTGTGGAGGGGAAAGCAGGGTTCTGGGTCAGGCGAGACCCCTGTGGGCTTTGGCACAGGGCGGGCTTTGGCACCAGGGCTCGGGCACAGGGCGGGCTTGGCACCGGGCTAAAATAAGCCAGTGGCCCGGCTGGGACACACACTGTCATTACCGGGACCCGGGCTCACCACACGCCGCCCGCGGGCCCACCTGTCATCCCTTCTAATTACGGCGCTGCCAGACCCAGGCCAACAGCCAGCCGCAGCCAGCGACGGCTCTGCTGCCCAGCCACCGGGAGCCTGGCACCTTCCCAGCGCCATGTGCCTGCCGTCTGGAGCGGATGGCATGGGACCCGCCCGGCCGGCCGGGGTGGCCCGAGGACTGCCCACCGAGGACCCAGCTCCAACAGGAAAGCCGAGAAGACCCAGATGTCTTCCCTGAGAGGAGCCCCCAGGTGTTAGGGGTCCGCCTCAGAGGCCCCGGGGCCGGCTGTTGTAGCAACCTCGCAGCTTCCTCATCCTGACCTTGGCCCCTCCCACCCCTGGGGTCCCCGCCCACAGCCATTTCCCCGCTCAGCAGGTCTGGGGGAGGGCCAGGATCTGGGGGGGCTCCGATGCAGAGCCCACAGTCCTCCCTCCCCCTGGGAGAAGTGATGGTCCTGTAAGGTAGCAGGTGACGGGCTGAAGAACAGAGGGGGGGCAGCCAGCCCAAAGTCACACCGATCACCCCCATCAATCCCTCCGCTAATCTTTCATCCCCGGTGGGACTCCCCTCCCTGCCACTTCCGGGCCAGGAAACTCGGCTGAGCCTCGTCTGGAAGAGGAAGGCAATAATACTACCGTATTTCCCCGAAAATAAGACAGCCTCCGAAAATAAGACCTAGCGCATGGAAAGATAAGACATCCCCTGAAAAAAAGACCTAGCGCAACTTTGGGAGAAAAAAATTAATATAAGACACTGTCTTTTTTTTTTTTTCGGGGAAACAGGGTATTTGGTAAGATCACCGTGAGGATTAAATCACGCGTGCTCCGTGTGAGCGCCGCGCCTGACGTGCTGATGGCGCTCAGCACTCATTTGTGGATGTGGCAGCAGCCGTGGCCCGCAGCGACACCGCCTCCACACGCGTGTGCCGTGTGCTGTGGTTCCCTTTTAAGCTATGTCACGGTTTTGTGAGGCCAAGAGAATAGAGCAGAGGTGACAGCACGTCACTTACAGGAAAGGAACAAGTTATAAAAGGGCACTGTGGCTTCCATCCTGGTGTCTCCCCTCTTCTAATCGCTCCATTTTGGGGGAGCTGGCTGCCATACGGTGGGGAGGTGCAAGTGGCAAGGAACTGGAGCCTGTGAGCAGTCGTGTGAGTAAGCTTGGACGTGGGCCCTCCAGCCCCAGCCGAGCCTTCGGATGAGTGCAGCCCTGAGCTTGATGGCAACCTTCTGGGACAGTCTGAGCCAGAACCACCCAGCTAAGCCACCCCCAAATGCCTGACAAAATGTTTGTTAATATTTCTCTCTCTTTTTCTTCCTCTCTCCCCTCCCTTCCACTCTAAAAAACAACAACAACAACAACAAAAAACCAATGGGAAAAACTCATTTTCACAACAGTGTGTGTGTGTGTGTGTATATATATATATATATATATATATATATATATATAATACCACTATTTTAAGGAAAAAGAACCTCCCACACTCATACCCAGACTTGAGCAGACACAAAATATTTACTGTGGGAATGCCTGAATAGGGTTACGCACAGGATTTTTCCCCACGACCACTTTGTGTTTTTCTGTTATTCTGTGTCTTGACATTCAGCACGTCTTGTTTTTAAATGTCCCCCGAAAATTCCCTTAAAAAGTGGGAAATGTGTCAGGCAGGGCTGGATCCCATTCCTTCTTCCTTAGGAAACGCCATGGATGGTTCCGGCGACCTGATTCTGAGCAGGCCGGCTGAGCCCGAATCGGGCTCCGGGGAGCCACGGGTTGGAGACACGGTTTCTCGTCAGATCGTTACAGGTCCCAGGAGGCCGGAGCTTCCAAATAGGAAAGGTAAAAATAGCACGAAGGAGGCTCCAGCACCAGATACCCGGGCTCAGAGCGGCGAGTGCCTCCCTTTCCCTCCCCCCAGGCTGGGCTTCCAATCCACCCGACCCCCTGTGACCACCACGTCAGGTCTCTCTCTCACACCGGGACCCCCCACCCCCCGCCAGTTTACCTGCCCTGGGGGGCAGGCCAACCCTCTTAAAACCCCTGCTCCAACATTCCCAGGGCTCCCTGTGTGGGGTTAGTACAGCTGAAGTCTCCTGGGTCAGATCTCCAGAATCCGGCCAGCAGGTCGGGAGGGACCCAGGAATCTGCGTTGTAACCAGTGGGCCAAGCACCTGCTAGGAGGCACCCATTGAGGAGCAAAAGCCTGGTGCTCACTGGCCTCTCCATTCCCAGCATCCAAGGCGGCCTCTGCTGGGGACAGTGACCCTGGGGAGACACAGCCCCCGATGCGGGTCCCCGTTACTTGACGAAGTGGCAACCCCGACTTGACTGGCATTCACTTCCAGGAATAAAACTGTTTTTCCTACGGGCAAGGTGTCCTGCCACACTCCAGGGAAACACAGAATTGCAAATAGAGGGAGTAGAATAAATCAAACGCTTCGTACAGGGTGGGGTAAGATAGGTTTACAGTTGCCGCTATGGAAAACAATACAACGATTAATACACAAAAATACGAGGGAAGACGCTGTGGTTCGTGTCCTCACAACTGCAAACCGACCTTTGCCCCACCTGTACTTCCGTTCCTGCCCTGGATTTAGTAATAATAGTCAGTGCATACTTGGTATCTGAAAGGATCAGTAACATGGAAAAGAATGTGACAGGTTGAGCGGAAGACAGGTAAGCAATGTGATTCCAACTTAAAATATAGAAGTTAAACTATTAATAGACATCTAGGTAATTGGTAAAATATGTGTCAGTAATTGACATTAGACTTGGGACTTTGAGAGGTTAGCGGAGGTTGGCAAAACTGATTACATCTGAGGACCTTCTGGGGTGCCATAACGATACTAACGGTGCCCCCCCATCTCCTAATTTATGTCAGAGAAGCATTTTACTGGCTCCCCAGGCTGAGATCCGGTGGCAAGAGAACTTGACTGTCTACTAAAAGCACCGAGCTGTTTACAAGGACTTAAAATTCATTGTCTATAGGTGTAAGTTATTAGACTTTTTTAGTAACTGTTTAAGTATTCTGGGGAAATGATGCTCGTTAAGTTATGTATCTGAAATACTTGAAAAAAGAAAATCAAATATATTACACTGAGAAGTGGAATTAAATATGCAAGGGAAGGCAATTAGGCTGTTAACACGGCTGACTGTTTAGAGGGATTTAGTCTGTTCAGCATTACTCAAAGGAAAAGGTAAGGTCATTTTTCTTATTTTTCTAGGTTTACGTTCAGCATAATAAGTTCCAGGTTGAACTTGACGGCTTACCGAACGTTAGGTTTTTAAAAAGTGTTGCTCCAAAGAGAATTAACTAAAAAGATAAAACATAAAACAAGCCACCACCTAACTGTGCCTTCCCCACCCATTCACCTAAAATACTGCCTCCCTCCCTGAGCTTCTCATCAGCCAGATCTGTTAGCAAAACATATGTCTTCTTTCCCACACGCGCTGAGCAGCCTATCCCGAGGGGCTACTAGGGGTTCTGCAAATAGAAAATAACGTCGTAAGGATGTATACCCTGTTTCCCCGAAAATAAGACAGTGTCTTATATTAATTTTTGCTCCCAAAGATGCGCTAGGTCTTATTTTCCGGGGATGTCTTATCTTTCCATGAAGAAGAATACGGTACACATTGATTGTTAAATGAAAATAAAGGAAATGTATTACCTGTATACGGTACGGTAGTACGGTCGTTGTCAACACAAACCAGACAAACTGTGAATCCCTACAGGATCAAGAATTGACTCATTTATTCAGTGACAATCATATCATCATCTTCTGGAACATCATCCTAACAATCCAATTCCTGAATTTCCTGGTGAGTTTCTTGTGACTCCATTTCTTTCAGAATCAGTGGGCCAAATCTCTCATGTTTAGCCTTGGGGGGGGGCCCTTATTTTCGGGGGGATGCCTTATATTTCACTCAGAAGGAAACCTGTAAGTAGGTCTTATTTTCGGAGGATGTCTTATTTTCGGGGAAACACGGTAGCATCTCACGTTTTCCCTCCCAGGCCCCTCCTCAGGCTTTACTGCCCGTTTTACAAGCCAGCTCCAGGCCTGAAATCCAGTCCCTGGTTTCCAACGCCACCCTTATGGCTTTTCTCTCTGGCCCAGACCCCAACTCCAGAGCCAAAGCCCCATTTGCCCGCAGACATCTCCACTTGATGGCTAAGGGGCAGCTCAGACTTCACTTGACCAGACAGAGAGCAGCCAGAATGAGGCCGTTAACATGCAAACCAGAGCAGGTCACAACCCAGCCTCAAACCTTCCAGGAGCTTCCTGGTGCAATCAGAAAACCATAAGGCTCCTTGCCACAGGCTCCGAGGCCATATTGGAGCCGCCCCAGCCTGCCTCTTCACAGCCCACTCCGCTTCGGTCCCTCAAACACCCCAGGACGGCAGCAGCCTCAGGCCTCAGCAGTCTTCCTACTATTCATCTTCCGTGCCAGTCTCTGGCCTAAGTGTCACCCTGGCGACAACAGCCAACCCGTGCTCTGCTCTTCAGAGCATTCCTGGTTTGTCATGGCTGCTCCTCCCCACCCACCCGCACACGGCAGAATGGATGCTCCCTGAGCAGCGACCTGTTCACTGCGGAGTCCCCAGTGTCTGGCCCAGAGAAGGCGCTCGGAAGACCTTTGTTGCCCTGGCTGGGTGGCTCAGTGGGTTGCAGCATGGTCCTCCCATGCATGAAAAGGCTGAGGGTTCGATTCCCAATCAGGGCATATACTGAGGTGACGGATTCAATCCCCGTGATCGGTTAGATGTTTCTCTCTCATTTATAGGTATCTCTCTCTACCTCTTCCCCTCTCTTCTAAAAATCGATTAAAACACAAACACACACAACATCCTCCGGAGAGGATTAAAGTAAGTAAGTGAATGAATGAATGAATGAAATAGTTGACGGCCTGCACTCCAAAGCCCCTGTCCTTTCTGTTCCCGAGCAGGAATGAATGATGGAGTCAGCCCTCCCGCCTTGCAGGCCAGGGTTCTGGGACGTGAAGCCCAGAGAGGAGGGAAAGGGGAAGAACCGCCCTCCCCCCTCTCCCCCCCGAAGTCGGGCAGAAGGGTTCAGTCCCAAGGATCTGCCTTTTTGCCACAGGCTCCAACTTCAGCCCTGAACTTGAAACTGATCGGGGAATCGGGAAATGGAGATGAGCCGGGGACCCAGACCCCCTCGACTTCCTAACGCGTTAAACGGCACGGCCCGCCGGGAGGAGCGCGGACTTGGAGACAAGAGCCCAAGTCCTGCCCCCGTGCGGGGCAGCAGACTAAAACCCAACCCTCGATGCCCAGCAAAGAAGGTACCTGGCTCAGCTGGGCCCGATGGCCAGGCGCTCCTCCTCCTCCGCTCTTGCGTTGCGAACTGCTTGCTGGGATTCGTAGTCCTTCCTCGGGTATCAGTTTCCCCCTTCCCAGAAACCTTTGGGAATGAAAGCAGCACTACCATTGATAGGTGGGGAGGGCGCAAGGGCTTCTGGGAGTTGTAGTTAGAAATAGCCAATCAGCGAGAAATGATCGAGGCGTAAAATCGTGTAACAAACATTACCAAACAGTCTGGGCTGCTGTGACCTGAACCTAATCAGGATTTTTATCCCGCGTAAGCCATCCATTACCCCCCTGATTCTAAACGAACTAGAACGGAGATTCACAGAGACTACATGTCCCATAATGCACTGCAGCACGACGAAGGCCTTTGGGGAGCGAGGTCGGCCGCGGCGCATGCGCGGTGTCGCGACTCCGGCAGTGGGGAAACATGGCGGCTCCGACGCTGACGGGGAGGCTGTATTCCCTGCTGTTCCGCAGGACCTCCACCTTCGCCCTGACCATCGCCGTGGGCGCCCTGTTCTTCGAGCGTGCCTTCGACCAAGGCGCGGACGCGATCTACGAACAGATCAACCAGGGGGTGAGGACCTGGCCGTCCCTGACCTTGGGCCGCCTGGGAGTGGCGGTGGGAATGGCGGTGGGACGGGGCGCCATGTACACCTTCACGAGGAAGAGGGGTAAACCCTGCGCGTCCTCTGTCTGTAGACTGCCATCGGCCTTTCTGCCGGGTGTGGCTCCTAAGCCGTTAAAGCGAGGCCGATAGATTCCACTCTGCAGGGCGTTGTAACATATATATTTTTATTGATTTTTTTTTTTTTTTTTTACAGAGAGGAAGAGAGAGGGGTAGAGAGTTAGAAACATCGATGAGAGAGAATCATCCACCAGCTGCCTCTTGCACACCCCCTACTTGGGATGTGCCCGCAACCAAGGTACATGCCCTTGACCGGAATCGAACCCGGGACCTTTCAGTCCGCAGGCCGACACTCTATCCACTGAGCCACACCGGTTTCGGCTGCAGGGCATTTAAACATTGCGATCGCCCACCTTTCCATTCTGCAGAAGCGACAGCTAAGGCCTAGTCAGAGCCAGGGGCTTCCTGGGGCTGCAGCACCCGGAAGTCAGGGCTGGGACTGAGCCCCCTGCCTCCGCGGAGGCTCCAAGGGCAGATCTGAGCGGTGGACGTCTCCTTAGACGTGGCGGCTGCCTCTTCAGATGGCGCTTTCGGTGGCCAGGGCTTTCCGCACGAGCCCCGTGGTTGGCGTGAATGATGGCTCGGAGTTGGGCTGTGAAATCAGAGGGCCCTGCACGGGGGTACTGGGCCTCGGGTACTTAATAACTGTGACAGGAAGCTGGGCAGGTTTCTTAATATCTCTGAGCTTCGCTTTTACCTGTGAAATCGATCACAGTAAAGACCTCGGGTTTGCTGTGAATAGTACTCGAGACAGGCAAGATGCCACAGAGCCTGCTGGGTGCTACCACTCAGAAAATAACACTTGTATACATACCCAGGTTGTGGGTTCGATCCCTGATCCTCGGTAGGGATGCGTGGCGGAGTCAACCTACCAATGTTTCTCTCTCACATGCATGTTTCTCTCTCTCTCCACCTCTCTTCCTCTGTCTCTAAAACACCAATAAAAACATGTTCTCTGCCCTGACCGGTTTGGCACAGTGGATGGAGCATCAATCAGCCTGTGGACTCAAGGGTCCCAGGTTCGATTCCCGTCAAGGGCATGCACCTTGATTGCGGGCACATCCCCAGTAGGGGGTGTGCAGGAGGCAGCTGATAGATTACTTCACATGGTGATTGAGGGCATCAAAGCATTTTTTCTTTTTCATCCTCACCTGAGGATACGCTATTATTGATTTTAGGGAGAGAGAGAGACATTGATGTGAAAGAAACATTGATCAGTGCCCTCCCTTTTGGGGAATGAACCTCAACCTGTGCCCTGATGTCTGTCGAACCCATGACCTTTCGGTGTACAAAGCGACGCTCTCACCAACTGAGCCACACCAGGTGGGGCTCAAAGCGTTTTATCAACATAAGGGATGGGTGACCCTCCTGGTATTGCTTCCAAATTTCCCAGTGTAACTGTCAGGGCGTGGTAAGAATTTCAAGCTTGTTTTAGTGGGGATATAATTGTAAAATGGGAGGGGCGGAAGTGAACGTTCATGGCTTTTGTCTTTAAAATGCAGAAGCTATGGAAACACATCAAGCACAAATATGAGAACTAGCTCCTCGGAGGCGCCCATCCAGGCCAGATGGACCAGGTCCACCGCCAGCTGTCTGCCCGGAGCCAGGGCCTCGGCGTGAGGCGACGCTCAGAGCCCTGTCCACGGACCACGTTTCGCTGTTGTTACGAAATGCCTTCACCTGACAGACTCTCAGCTTCTGCTGTGTTTGAAGTGTGATTCTTAGCCAGAATCATGAGCCAATAAATGTAAGCTGTCCGTGAGACCTGCTTCAGCACTGGCGTTTTATCAGCTCCACCCGATCATCGCTTGTCGGTTACTTGGGACCACTTCAAAGTCCTGCAAACTTCCGTTATTTTGGGTTTCCCATTTCCTTCCCAGGAACTCTGGTTTTCAAACCATGAGCCAGAGTTGGAGATGTTACCTTCAACTTTGTCTCCCAAACCGGTAATTCCATTCTTAAGTCACGCACAGGGGAGCTGACTGGCTTGGCCATGGGGAGGCACTGTGGCCTCAGCTGGGAAAGAAAAACCCTGGCCTGAGCATCTTGGGGCACCCCCGTCCCCAAGACTCTAGTCTCCATTCTGCCTTGTACTTGCTGTGTGTCTGGGCAAGCTGCCATACTCCTCTGGGCCATGACCCATCTGTGATTGGGTTAGGCCAGAACTCAAAGCCCCTGTCCTCTGAAGAGATTGGTTGATCACGGTGCGCTCCACCAGTTCCAGTGCTAGGGAAAAGGCTCCTTTTATTGTTTATTTTTATTGATTTCACAGTGGAAGGGAGAGGGAGAGATAGAATCATCAATATAAATGATAAAAGAGAATCATGGATGGGCTGCCTCCTGCACGCCCCACACTGGGGATGGAGCTCGCAACCCAGGCCTGTGCCCTGACTGGGAATTAAACTGTGACCATCAGGCATAGGTCAACGCTCAACCATTGAGCTATGCCGGCTGGACTGAGCTGAATTTTCAGCTGGGGCCTTGGCCTGAGAGGCTTGGATGTATGCACTGACTGAATGTCAAGGGCAGACTCCAGCCGGCCTCAAGGACGAGGCGATGATGAAATGCAGGGGAAGTGTTGGCCAGGAGCCGTCCTGCTGACAGTGAAACGGGTGTGGCTCGCCTCCTTCCTGCCTAGAGCCCTCAGCGGCCCTTCCTCTTCCCTGTGTCTTTGGGAGACTGCCAGGTCACTGCTCCTGCTCACACTCCGTCAATGGCTCCCTACTACCTGCAAGATCAAGTTCAAATTCCTTAGCCTGACATGTAAGATCCAGGCTACCTCTAACTGCACCTCAGAAACCTTCCAGCCAGGGTTGCTGCTGTGGGTCCCTTTGCCTGCCCATCACGTGCCTAGGCGTGGGCTGCGGACACGGAGCACGCCTGTGTTTGCACTCTAGCACTGCTATTCTCCAACTGAGCCACCTGGGGTGGGTTGCCTGCTCTCCTGGCTTCCCTGGGTGGGAAATGGGGTAACAGACATACGTGAGATAGTGCTTGTGGCATGCTTAGCACAGGCTTATTGGCCAATGTCGACTGCAGCGAGTCAACGAACAGGGGCTCCCTGCATGGTCTTCAGGGGCCAGTACAGAGCTTTGGGGATGACTGTACAGCGGAATCACCCAGGTGGCCCCCATCCCACACCCCTGCTGTTTAAAACCATGTCGTCGCCCCCCCCCAACAAACTGGTTTGGCTCAGCCGTAAGTGAGCACGTGATCAAGGAGGCGGAGCCACGTGGATAGCCGTAAGTGAGCACGTGATTAAGGGCAGGGCCACGTGATCACGCGAGAGTGGGCACGTGAGGACGGAGACGGGCCATGTAAAGATTGAAATGATGCGGCCAGGAGCCCCCAGGAGCTGGAAAGGCAGGTGAGGCCCTCTTCGGACCCTTGGAACGGGCACAGGAGGCAGAGGGGCCAGCAGCGGGTTCTGGGACCCCCCCGAGGAGGAGGGAGGGGAGAGGTCGGAGGTGTACCCGGGAGGGAAATTGCGGGCTGGCTGCTCTGTAAGGCTCTCGCATGCTGCCGGTCAGTAACACCCTCCATGACTGTGGGTCGTGGGGAGAGAATTCCCAGGATGTTAAGACGTGGCCACCCCACCACACCAAGGGCTGCCATGGTCATGTTCAGACTGGTTTTTAAAACATATATTTTATTGATTTTTTTACAGAGAGGAAGGGAGAGAGAGAGTTAGAAACATGTGGCCGACCACTGACCCAGGAGGTCAGGGTTTGATTCGGGGCACATGTCTGGTTTCCGGCTCAGCCCCCAGTAGGGGGCGCACCAGAGATAGCCGATCCATGGTTCTCTCTCATCACTCATGTGTCAATTTCTCTCTCCCTTCCTCTCTGAGATCAGTAAAAATATATTTTAAAAAAGAACGTGGGCTCTAGGGGACAGTCCTGGGACTGAGTCCCCCCTCAGCCACTTGCTAAACTGCACCCTCGGGCAGGCTGTCTGCCTTCTCTTCACCTCAGGAAGTACCTTTATTTTCACCACAACTCATCGTGGTCTCATCACCGTGTTCATTCACACACACTCCTTTCCAGATTTGGATTTGGTCTGTATGCAAATCTTTTCTTTCTTTTTTTACATTTTCACCAGCATGTATTCTGCTTCCAAACTCTAAAAAACATTATTCTTAACTATTTAGTTTCCCACGTGGCTAGCATCATTTCACTGGCATCATACAAAGGGGTGTGCCACGCTCCCTGGGCATTCTTGGTGGGTTTGTGTTTATCTTTGTTCCCTCCCTGTGTCATTTACCCACGCTCTTGGTGTCACAGGGACAGGCAGGCTCTTGACGACCATCTTCTCCTCCAGCTGCACCTGCTGGCCCTGCCACTCACTCCCCCTGGGCTCCGGGCAGGTCCCTCCCCGCGCTCCCGGCTCCCTTCCCTTCTGCAAACAATGACGCGCTCTGGCCACCCACTCGGGGCACAGAAGCACCGGCCACACAAACACGCTAACCATCACGGCCACTCGAGGACCAGAAGCAAACACAAGGCTCTCTCAGAGGCACAGGGCCTTAAAAGCTTTCTGGGAAAGGCCTGTCAGAGTCCTGTCCTCCGCCAGGGACCGGAGAAGGCACTTGAACATTCTTGCTTCGGAAGCAGGAGTGGTGAGCCCCCGTGAGCCAGCAGGCAGGGTCCAGGGCCCCCCATCCCACCTCACTTAGAGCACTTGTGCCATTGCCCGTCTTCAATCTTGGGGCTGCCTCAGAGGATTGAATGGGCACTAAGTGGAAACCATTCATCTGGGCCAATGCACCCACTTTGCAGATGAGAAAACTGAGACCATATGAGGCGAAGGGGTGTGCCTGCCAGCAAATCAATTCTGCACAACCCTGAGCTGTTTTCCAAGCATCCCAGAGGGGTGCCCTCAGGATCTGAAATGAGAACGCATGCAGGTCCTCCAGGGAGGCTAGGCTTGACCTGGCAGGACATTCTGGAAAACTGGAAAAGTCCCTTCTGTCTTCTCAAGGCCTTTACACCAGGAAGCTGGTGCGGCCTGGACACCACTCCGGTGGTCAGGGGTCGCAGACGACAGAGTGAAAGTGAGAGGGGCCACGTGGGCAGCAACAGACAGGACATGAAGGCCGGGAGCACCCGCCCCGCCCCCCTTTGCTCCAGGGACAAGTGGGGTCAGTGACAGAAAAGGATGGCCCTGCCCTGCCCTGGCCCTCACCGCGGGAGCAGGCAGCCCTGCCGCCGGCCGGGTGGCGGGCCTGGGCCTCATCTATCGATTTTCACTTGAGCGGGCTGACCGCACTAACCCATCTGTCAGGGGCCTGTCTGCCTGGCTGCTCCCGAGGCTCATCCTAACCACATGCTAATCAGCTGTCCTGGCAGCCACAGCGGTTGGTCCAGGTCCAGCCGGGCAGGGGCCTGGCTCCCGCTGCCAACCCCCCCGTCGCTCAGCCACACTCTGAGGCCCGGGAATCGGGGTGACAGTAGCTGCTGCCTCGCTAGGAGCCAGGTGGCCATGCCCGGGAGGAGACTGGGGAACTGGGCCCAAGTCCCACTCGCTCTAACTGGGCTTGGCAGTAACATCCTCCCCCACTTCTGATCTCCGACCCTTCATTTTTTGGAATTTATGAGTAAACGCACCACCAGGAGGCACTGAGTTCTGGTCCTGGCTCTGTGGCTGGCCAAGAGTCCTCAGGCCAGCAGAGATGGAGATGACACCACCCGGGGGTCCGGGGCCGCGTGTCCGTCCCTGCTCTCCCGCTTCCTGCCTGTGGCCCCGACAGGCACTGTCAGCGCTCAGTGCCTCGCCTTCCTCTCTGCTCTGGGCTGACAACGGGCCTGTCTCCCCGGGGCAGGCGGTGGGGGCTAGAGGACAGACGGGATCGCAGGGCCTCACCCCCCGGGTCCTTCCTCCCACACAGGGGGTGCCGGGAAGGAGGGATGTTGTCAGGGACACACAGCGAGGCAGAGCGACGCCGGGTGTGTGTGTGTGTGTGTGTGTGTGTGTGTGTGTGTGCAGGGGGGGCTAGCACAAGGGGCTGATGGGAGAACCGGTGAACGTCCTGCCCTCCTCGGTGGCTGTCACGGAAGGATGGGGCACGGGAGAGCGGGTCATGGGCACATCACGGGTGATTGCTTAACAGGTCAAACACTTTATTCGCAGGCCTTGTTTTGGTTTTGGAACATACAGGGTTCCTGCCGTCCAGAGAACAGGGAGGTGCTGCTGTGAGAGGTTTTGGGGGCCCGGCTCCTCCGTGTGGATAAGGCACTGTGTGTGTGCGCGCGGCGCTGGTGGACACGAGGTCGAGGTGATGTGGTCTCTGGCGGAGGCCTCGGCTGCGGGCACAGCCCGGCGGGGTGGCACCGTGCCCCTCCGGCCTGGCGCGGCGGCCTCAGGTCGGAATCATGCCTTTGTTCCTCTTGCGGTCGGCCATGGTCCTCCGGTTGTGATTGGCGCGTGTGGACTTGTTGGCTTCCTTCTTCCTGCGTTCCTGCGTGGTCTCCCGGTTCTGCCCGTGGCCCCGGGGGCTGCCGGCCACTGCTGCTGAGCTGTCAGGCCGGAACCTGAGGGAGGGACAGCCCGCCCCAGGAGAACATCAGTCCGAGGAGCTCCGCTGGCAGGTCCCCGGGAAGGGCACGCAGCGTGGGCCGGGCCCCCCACGCCCCCTCCCAGCTGGAGGGGGGCCCTGGCCGCTGTGCCCGGTGCCGCTCTCTGAGCCGGCCTGCGGGTGGGAACCTGGCTGGCGGCGAGGAAGGAGCAGCGAGTGGGCAGCCACGCTAGGAGACGAGGAAGGCTTGGGGATGGCGGCCGCCAAAGACCAAGCGCCGGTCTGGGCTCTCACAGGCCGGCCTGCCCGACACGGGCCAGCGGGCGGGCACAGCGGCTCCACCCGAGGCGGCCCGCTCCCCCGGCGGCGAGCCTCGGGGGCCAGGGTGGGTTCCCTCCTCCAGGAACAGCCCCGAATGCTCACCCCCTCCTGGCGAGGAAGGCCATGCGCCGGGCTTCTGCCTTCTCCCGGAGCACGGCGGGGTCCTGCACAAAGTGGTCGGGCTGCGGAGGAAGGGGGAGGGTCACACGCCGTCCAGACCCCCAGGCTGCGGCGAGACTGCGCTGCCAGGATCTCCTAGATGCAGCCATGCCGGCATGGAGGACACAGCACGCAGGGCCAGGCCCAGGCCGCCTCTGTCCCCTCCCCCAGGTCCCCAGGGGAGGCCGCACAGGGACTGAGGGAGGGTCCGGCCGGCTGGGGGGGGCTGACACAGCTGGAACATGACAGTGGTGCAGGGAGCCGTGCGGGCCGGTGGCCTGGCCCCGGACACATGGGAACTTATCGCCCTGGGAGGGGCCGAGGGGACCCGGGGTCCTGGGCTGCCCTCAAGCGACCTGAGCATCACCGCTTCCCACCGCCTGTATGCTGAGGTTCTGGCTAAGGTTCTATGGGAAGAAAACATTTAGCTGCTGAAAATAAAATTTTCAAACCCACCAGCCCAGATGGCCTCCAGGGCCCCTGGGCTCTCAGGCTGCTTTGATTTCAGGAATTGCCATCCTGGGCACGGAGGCAGCAGCCGCCCGCTCCCGGCCCCAGGCTCCTGGGCGGAGGGAACCCAGCGGCTCCAAGGCCCGGCTCGGATCCATTCGCTCGGGTCCGTGCCCTGGCCCTCCCTGGGCAGACTGGGCCTGAAGGGGCCCTCTCCTGCCGCAGGGAGCCGGGCTGCCTCCAGGCCGACGGGGGGTGCAGTGCGCTCCGTCCCCCTTCAGAATGCCCCCTCCTCCTTCGTCTGCACCCGCCGAGGAGGTACCTTGGGGGCCTCGTCCTCAGCTTCCTCCTCCTCGTCGTCATCCTCCTCCTGCCCCTCGGTGGGCACTTTGGTTCTTAGCACTTGAGGGATGGTGAAGGGCCTGCGGGAGAGAGAAGTAAAATCAAAGACCACATTAATTCAGAGCCTCGGGGCCGAGGCCGAGGGAGCTGGGCCGGAGGGGCCTGATGGGACGGCGCAGGAGTGCTTTCCCAGCCAGCTTTGCGCCAGCCCCTGGTTCCCTGCGGTGCCGGGGTCTGGTGTGCGGGCCGGAGGGGGGACTGAGCTTGGGCTGGAAGCTCTCTAGCTCAGTTTTCATCTATTGGGTAAAATCCACGTAAACCCACATTAAGAACAGTGGGAAGCTGCGAAATGAAGTTAAATTAGGGCCCCCTGAGGGTGGGCTGGACCAACCAGCCAAGGGCGTGGCTGGGGCCGGAGAGAGCACTGGACTCGGAGTTTGGACCCCGTTCTGCCACGGACGTGCTCACGTGATCGGGCCGGCCAGGGGCCCCCCCACCCCCCCCGTGCGAACAGGCGGCCGTGGGAGAGCCCCGCCCGATGCCGCCCGCCCGCGGCCTCACCTGCGGCTGATGAGCTCGTCGTCGGAGTCGGCGTCGTTGGCGCCCACCTGGTTGCCATCGTACGTGTCGTCATACTCGTCCTCGTAGTCGTCGCCGCGGTAGGCCGGGCCCTCGCCGGGCTGCAGCGGCACCTGCAGTGGCAGGCGGTGGGTCAGAGGCCCGGGCCCTGGTCTCCCAGCAGCCTGCGCCCCAAGGCCAGACACCCACCTCCTCCACCACCAGCCTCCCCTGCCACCCGCCTCCCCCCTCCCCCACCACCCACCTCCCCCGCCACCCACCTGCCCCTGCCTCCCACCTCCCCCACCACCAGGCTGTGCGGCCGGACGCCCACCTCCTCCACCACCAGCCTCCCCTGCCACCTGCCTCCCCCGCCTCCCCCCTCCCCCACCACCCACCTCCCCCGCCACCCACCTGCCCCTGCCTCCCACCTCCCCCCCCACCACGCTGTGCGGCCGGACGCCCACCTCCCCCCCCACCACGCTGTGCGGCCGGACGCCCACCTCCCCCCACACCTCCACTGTGCGGCCGGACGCCCACCCCCCCCCACCACGCTGTGCGGCCGGACGCCCACCCCCCCCCACCACGCTGTGCGGCCGGACGCCCACCCCCCCCCCACCACGCTGTGCGGCCGGACGCCCACCTCCCCCCCACCACGCTGTGCGGCCGGACGCCCACCCCCCCCCCACCACGCTGTGCGGCCGGACGCCCACCCCCCCCCACCACGCTGTGCGGCCGGACGCCCACCCCCCCCCACCACGCTGTGCGGCCGGACGCCCACCCCCCCCCCCACCACGCTGTGCGGCCGGACGCCCACCCCCCCCCCCACCACGCTGTGCGGCCGGACGCCCACCCCCCCCCCCACCACCACGCTGTGCGGCCGGACGCCCACCCCCCCCCCACCACGCTGTGCGGCCGGACGCCCCCCCCCCCCCACGCTGTGCGGCCGGACGCCCACCTCCTCCACCACCACGCTGTACTGCTCGTAGCGCTGCCGCTGCGCCGCCACCTCCCGCTTGTCGTTCAGCAGGCTCCGCGCGTTCTCCTCCTTCCTGGCAGGAGAGGGAGCAGGAGGAGAGAGGAGGGACTGTCAGGCTCTGAGGGCTGCCAGGTCCAGAGAGACGGGCTCCCGGCTTCACCCCGCAGCCAGCAGACTGTTCGGCTCATGAAGCCCTGGCGGGTGCGGGCAGGCGGGCCTCACCGCTGCGGCTGCCCATGTGGCCGGGCCCAGCACCGCCGAGGCACCAGGAGCAGCGGTTAGAGCACAAACACCCTCCTGTGTGCACCACGAGGCCTGACGGGACTTTCTGTTTTCAGCATCGTCTGCCAATCGTGAGGACGGAGAGCCACGGACGCCCTCCCCAGTGAGCCGGAAAGACCCGGCCACACCTCTGCCACCGATCGCCGGGCAGCACTCTGCCGATGCCGATGAGGGAAGAATCCTGAAGAGGAAGGAACTCACAGAGAATGCACAGCAGACCCTCCTGAGTGAGCAGTGAGTGAGTACCACTGTCTGTTCTATGGGCACGTCCGTACCGTGTATGTGACACACAGCGGGGTAGTGAGCGCCCGCCAAATGACATGGAGACCCCGGGAGGCCCCGGGCTGTTTGAATCTTTTAATGTGGCTTTCCTACTGAGCTCGGGGAGCCAGGGGATCTTGGGGTGTGAGGGTCAGGAGGGGTCCTGACCACTTCCTTTCACCCCCACTCCACCATGGTGGCTCCCCATTGGCCTGTGTTCAGTCTGGCCTGTCAGATCGCAGGGGGGCAGTGCCTGGAAGCTCCATTACCGACATGTCCCGGAGGAGGGGATGCGGGGCAGGGAAGCGGGAGGGAGGAGGGGACGCGGGGGCGGGCCGTGCACTCCAGCACAGCCACGTGGGGACTCGGGTCTCCTGACTCAGAGCTTTGCGAATCTGTAGAAAAACCTGGTTTGTCAGACACGGAGGCCTGTGGAATGCAGTTCTGAGCCCTGCAGGGGAAAATCAATATGAGATGCTAGGCAAGAAAATCCAGCTTAGCTGTGAAGTCAGGCCTCTGGAATGTACCAAGGGGAAGGTGGGAGTGGGAAGAGACACAAGCCATTCGCAGCCTCCACAAAAACCTTCTATGAACCGGCTTTTGGTACAAGCAGGGGTAGGCGCCTGTGTCTGTAGGACTGTCTACCGCGGAGCCTGGGGCAGGTCAGGCCTGCAGCCTCCAGCATCGGCCTGGACTTCTCTCAACAGTCTTTGCTAAGGGCCTACTGTGTGCTGGGCAGGATACTAATACTGAGCTGGGGAGAGATTCAGGAAAGAGTAAGCAATGGGTCTGACCTCATGGAACTCAGTCTAGTGAGGGTGACGGGCAAATAGCAGACAACATGAAGCGTGCCAAATGGAAGCCGGCATGCCTGGAAACTCAGAGAAAGGAGGTGTGGACTCTGGCTGGGAGGGGAGGGCAGTCCTAGCTTGGGGTCCGGGGAAGGGGTAATGGGGGCCCTATGGTGGGAGGGAACCAGCTCCCCGGGGCGGAAAGGGGCGTCCTTGAGGATGTGGCTGCCACAGGTGAAGCCTAGACGGCCCTGACCTGCGAGTTCTTGTCATCAAGGGGACGGATTTCCTTCCTACGTGAGCCACCGAGTGGCTCCGAGCTGACGAAGGACGCGGGCACGTTTTAACTCAGGTGTGACCTGCCTTGAGCTACTTCATTTCTCCTGTGGTCCTGAGGACAGGGCCAGGGCTAGGTTCGGACAGGTGTCCCCACCAAGCCCCTCTCGCCCCACCCAGCCCCTCTCCCCCTTATCACTGCGTCCCGCATGGCCTGTCTTTCCCACGGTCTCTGTGCCGTTTCAAGGCGAAGCCTGGGTGCTCTGCTCACGTTGTCTTCCTGCTGTTTAGCTCGGATCCAGGCTAGTAAATTGCTTAATAAATATTTGCCGAATGAATAAATAATGAATACACGGAGAAAGGCTTTGCCTCCGCAAACCTCAGCCCGGAGCTACCGGGACAAGGAGTTCCGTAAACAGCTGCCACCCAGACTCTCCTGGCGCCCCGTGCACAGGGGCACAGCCCTCCTGTCTGCCCCCTGACCCACAGTCCGAGCTCCAGAGGCTCCTGGCCGCTGAAGCAGGGGACCATTCTGGCTTCGGATCGGGGATGTCGCAATGTGTGTGACTAAGCAGATTCCAATTGCTTCCTGTCTGGCCAGCCAGGTCACTCAGAGCCGGCCTGTGCCCGCTCTCTCAGCGCTTGGCCAGCCAAGCTCTGCGCGGCCCTGGGAGGGGCAGAGCACAGCGCCTCCCTGCAGAGCACTCCCTGCGACTCTGCCACTGGGGATCCTGCCTCCACCCTGTCTGAACGGCACTGTCCCCATCACACGGCGGGGAAAGGGCAGGCTGCACGGTCCGGCGGGGCCCGGATTCTCCGGATTTCACGAGCCACCACCGCGCAGGGCACTCTGGGAGGCCAGCACAGTGTGGTGAACCTCTTGTTTCTGCCTCTCTCTCCTGTGCTGTCCTCTCTGCCACCACAGCGACTCTCAGTCCCTCCCAGTGGTTTTTCTTCCCAAGTCCGGAGATCTTTCCAAAACCAAGGGCACTGGCTCCTGGGACCATCGCCATCTCCCCGTGGCCTCGGGGCCTCTCCCGTGGAAGTGTCTCCTTCCCCATTCTGCACCGCCCCTTCCTCCTCCTCCCTCTCCTGGCCCCGGGGCATTTCCTCAGTGGACTGATTGAAGCCCCTGCAGAGGCTGGAGGCCTGCTCACTCCGCCCTGTAGCACATGGTAAGGCTGACTCTACGCTGCTGTTGGATGAACCGATTGGCACACGCTCCTATGGGCAGGGGCCATGTCCGCTTCACTCCGCTATATCAGCACCTAATCAATCCGGGGCCTGGAGGCCATGAGCACTGGCCAACGATCTGTTGACTGAATGAATAAATCATGAATGGTCTTTCAACGCCAACCAGGAAGGAAGGACACAAACTAAACACAGCGTGGAGAAAGGCCTTAAAGGAAACGCGCTCCCTCCAGGCAGGTCCTCACTGTCCTCCGGCCGCGGACCGGAGGAGCCAGGTCTGGGAGAGGCGTTCTGGGGAGCACACCCAGCTCCCCACCCAGAGGCCCGACAGCCGGCACAGCCCACACTGCACGGCGAAGGGAAGCGCTGGGCCCGCTGGCTTCTGCTACCAGCAAGGAGGACTCGCTGGCGCCACCCTGTGCAGAGCCGGAGCCGGAGGATAATTTTTTTTTGTGTTTTTTGTTTTGGTTGTTTTCTGCTGTTGCTCCAAAATGCGTTTTTACTGCTGTGATGATTCTGAAGCACAGCGTTAAAGAGCCCGCACCAGCTGAACACAAACAAGAGCGCACACAGGCCTCGGGCTGCGGGGAGCCCCGTTTCCTCAGGATGAAGCCCCTGGTTTCTCGCTGCGCTTGCAGAGCGGGGTGCCTGCAGCCCGCCGCCCACGCACTCACCGCCTGCCCTTGTGCACCCGGCTCAGGTCCACGGCGTCCCTGCTGAACACGTCAAACTCGTCGTTCTGGAAGACGTTGTGACGAGCTGCCAGCAGAGGCGTCGGGTCCGGCTTCACCTCCCTGCGGGGAGGGGCACAGAGCAGGTTAAGGGGCACCTGCCAGCTAATGCCCCCTGAACCCCACTCCCCTTCACCACTCCCCTTCACCAGCCTCACCGGGCACACAATCTAAACACCTGCCCTCCCGGCCCCGCCTGGAATGACCACACCTGACACAAAGCTCCCCTCAGTCCCACTCCCATCCACACGGATTTTCAACAGCCCCCTCCCTCACTGGCTGCTGTGACAGCCCTGAGATAGGCAGCCAGAGATCACTCAGCCTCTTTGTGCCTCAGTGCCTTCATCTGTAAAATGGGCACAAAGACGCTGAAAAGCTTGTCCGAAGCCAGAGCTAACTCAGTCCTTGTTTGATAAACACCATTTGTTCACGGGAGAAACACCCATTCACGTACTCATTCTGCTGCCCCACGGGCTCTGGGGAAATTCAGGAAGGGCCGCCATGGAGGGAGTGAGAAATGGCTGTGCTTCCACTGGGAAGGGGCAGGGCCGGGGCAGGCCAGGCCGGTAGGAGCAGTGCAGGGCTCAGCAGCCCCCCACACCCGTGTCCCTCTTCTCCCCACGGGAGCGCAGCGGGAAGGCCAGCTGTGCGCTCTGCCCCACGGGGCCTGTGAGAACCTCGTGAGGGGACGTTAGCTCCAATGGTCGGGAAACCCCGCTCTGGGGAGAGCGAGCTGCATCCTGGAACACGAGGGAAGGCAGAGTGGGGCGCAGAGGAGCGAGGACGGGGCCCTACGAGGCCCGCCCGCAGAGCGCCTCTGGCCAGGCCTCCTCCCGGGCTCCCCACCTGTCCAGGCCGCGGTCCAGCCGGCGGAGGGCGGGGGCCAGCCGCTCCTCCAGGATGTTGTTGATCACCTGCGCCGGGTCATAGCCGTAGTGCTGCAGGCAGGCCAGGATGAAGCCCTCCCCGAGGTCCGGCAGCAGGTCCTTCACTTGGGAGATGAGCGAGTCCAGCTCCACGCCCCTCACGGGGGGGTCCAGGGCGGCGGCGGCCCCTAGGCACTGTGAGAGCCAGAGGAGGGGAAGGTGAGGCCAGTCCGGCTGGGGCAGCAGGCCCCAAACAGCTCTGGGCCGGGAGTCCGGGGCCATAGGCCCCCCCCCCACCAAGTGCCTCACGTCCCTCCGAGCCTCCACGCCCCCGTGGGAAGGCTCTGGACCTGACAGTGGGCTGCTCCTGGCCTGGCCACCTGGGGAGGTGCTTCTCCCGTGAGCCACTGCCTCCTCCTCAGGCAGCACTCAGTGCCCCCGCCTCGGGCTGTGCCAGGGACTTTAGGAAACGGCGCACATATAGAGCGGCGCACAGAGCTGGCACCGGCTCGACTCTCCAGAAACGGCCCCGGCTTCTATGAACCCAGAACCCTTCAGCGCTAACCGGCTGGCGGCTGGCCATGGGGCGGTCTCCGGGCCCGGGCCGTGTGGCGAGGCTGCCCTGTAATTAGATGCTTTTCGCTAAGGGAGTCCATTTATAGACTGCTTGATGTGGCTTCATGTTGTCAGGCTTTTCATTTACAGAAATAAAATTAAAAACAACAAACCCTTCCGTAAGAAGCCACATGGAGAGGCGGTGGGCAGAGGCGGAGGGGACCGGCATTCCCCGAGGCCCGGACAGCGAGGGCCCCCGGGCTCTCGGACGCAGGCAGCGTCTGCTAACGCGGCATCCGCCCGCCCAGCCACGGCCGAGGGCTCCGGCCGCCCGGGGAGACCTCAGGGAGGCGGGACGGCCACAGCCCCACCTGGCAGGTGAGCAGCCCCCGCTCCATGTGGATGAGCAGCCTAAGGCCACGTGGCTGGCGAGGGACAGGCCCCTGAGCTGCCCTACCCCAGAGACGGGGTGGTCTTAATCCCTAGGTCACCTGCCTCCAGGCACACGGGAAGAGGCCTGGACTCAGCACAGCCACAGTCCTGGCGGCTCTGGAAAAGCATGGAGAGGCAGCAAGAGAGAAAAGGTGCCCGTACGGCTCAGGGGCCCGCACCCTACGGAGGGGCTTCCCGGGGCCACGCAGTGAGCCTGACCCCCGCCAGCTGCACCAGAGCGGGACTGCTGCATCCGACGGAGGGGAAACGGAGGCGCAGACGGCCCAGCACGCCAGCTCAGGACCCTCTCTGAGGCACGCAGGCCGACAGGCAGGCCGAGGCTGCCCATTCCCCCTCTCACCCCCCTCCTCCAGGGCAGAAACCAAGAAGGGAGGTTCCCGGGCCCCCACCCCTCAGAGAGGACACACCTCCTCCTCCGAGGTCTCTGGGCGAGAGGCCGCTCCGCCGACCGGCTCCCCGGTCGCCACGGCGCCATTAAGGCCCCCGGTCACTGGGGGCTCTTTAGCGTCGGTGGGTTTCCGCCGGTCCACCCCTTCCCACGCACTCTCCACCGCCTGGAGGATGTAGGCAGCCCGGGTCTCGTCTCTGAGGATGTGTTAAGGGGTCTCTCTGGGGGACCACAGCCTCTCTGCCCCCTCAGCCCGGAGACAGCTCATTTCTCAGTCCCTCCCCGGCATCTGCCCCAGGGCGTCCGTCCGCCAGGGCTGTCTGGGCTGCACCCGGGCGTCATCAAGGCCCCTGGGCTGCATGAGGAGCCGCCGGGCTCGGGCCTGGGCAGGGGTTAGGGGAAGCCAGCTGCCCGTCTGCTCTCAGATAAACCTCCCTCTGCTCCCCTGGCCCCAGCAGCCCATCCCTGGCCGCGCCAGGCCAGGTCCCACCCCAGGGCTGTGAGGAGGATACAGGACGGACGAGGCCTGCTGCAGGAGGCTGACGTCATCGGCCACGGGGAATAGCGCGTCGTAGTCCCGCAGGAACCTGCCAGACAGACGGCAGATGGGAGGGAAGGGCCGGGCCACAAGGGCACTGGCCTGCTGTGGGCACTCCCTGCGTGGCTGCTGCCCAGCCACCGATCCGGAGCCTGAGATCACGGCGATCACGGCAGGGGCTGTTATGCAAGGGGACAGATAAAGCGCCGTGCGCTCACCTCTTCTCCTGCAGCAGAGAGCTGAAGATCTGCAGGAACTCTTCAATGAAGCCCTGACTGTTGTCACAGCTGCAACAGGACAGGGGAGCTGGGCTCACTCCTCGCAGATGAGCTGCGGGTGCCCCCGCCCGCCCGCCTGCCCTGTGCTAGGCCTCCGGCCAGTGGGAGGAAAGAGGCTTTTTTCTCTTGGTTCCCCTTCCGGCTCAGCAGCTCAGAAGCCGGAGAGGGGGCAGAGAGCGAGGGCGATGGCCCTGCGGGGCTGGGGGCGGAGGCTGTCCACCTGAGGGCGGCGCCCACGGGCTCACCCGCTTTCCAGGATGGGGAGCAGGCAGATCTGGTACAGGAGGATGTGAAAGATCTCCAGCAGCTTCTTCCTGGAGTGGGACAGCCTCTGCCACAGGTCACCGAGCAGCCTTTGACGGCCAAGGGGAAGGAAGAAATAAGAGATCTGAGAGGGCGCGAGGGAGCTTAATCCCACTCCACCCAGCTCCACCCTGCACACACCCGGGCTGAGCAGGCCTCACAGCTCACTGCTGACAGCAGCTGGGAAAAGGCCACAGTCCCAGAGTCACTTCAGGTTCAGTGCCTCCTCCCGCCCTTCCCAGCAACAGCTTGGAGCCGTTAGCAGGCGCTTAGAGCAGCAGCTGAGGGGGAAGGGCTGGATGCCGGGGCCAGGGGGCTGCTGGGTAGGGATGCACCAGCCAAAGGTGCATGGTCCTTAGTCGCACCCGTTGCCTTGGAGACAGGGATGCTGAAGCAGGGCCTGTGCTCAGGCTTCCCTCACCCCGAGTTCTGTTCCCGCCTCACCTGCTGTCTTCAAGCCGCCTCTTCTTAATCGCAGACTCCAGCTCAGGAATTGCTGTTTCGTAAAAGGAAGCGAGTCTGCGGAGGCACACGTGGGTAAAAGGCCGCTTCGTCAGAAAAGCAGAGCCAGCCCAAGGGAGCAGGAAGGCGCATCGCCACAGTTTTCTCAGCCCAGAGGCAGCCCCGTTTCTCGGTCCCTCCCCGGCACCTACCCCAGGTGGAACAACTCCCACGGAGGGTGGTCTGGCGAGATCTATCAAAGTTTAAAATGCACATTTAATGGCACCGCCCCTGCACCGCTACTTCTAGGGATTCAGCCCTCAGAGATACTTGCGGAAGTGCAAGACGGGCGTGTAAAGTTATTCTTTTGTTTCGTTTTGATGATCTGCAATTTTGTTTTTCACTTACAGTTTACATTCAGTGTTATTTTGTATTCGCTTCAAGGAGCACAGCATAGTGTTAGACAACCAAAAAGTTATTCTTTATAGCATTTTTTTTTTCTTTGGTAATAGCAAACAACTGGAAAAAATCCTAAAGGGTCATCTATGGGGTCTGGTATCCCCTGCAATGGAATTCTGTCTACCATATTAGACATTGAGAGTGCTTTATGCACTGACATACATCAAACTTAAAGGTACAGTGCAAACAGCTCCTAGAGCACTCATATGCCAGCAATACACTTTAAAAGGGGTTGGGTGATATATAATATGCGTACTTGCTTATACACGCCTGTTTATATGCATGTCTCTGGAAAATTCCACATAAAAACTAAGGACAATGGCTCTGTCTGAGGAACAGATTAGAGTAGGAGAGAGGGAGATGTCACTATCTATTTCATGCTTTTTTGAGTTTTGGACCGTGTGCATGCTTTATTCATTCATAAAACCAAAGGACAGAGAGAGATCCAGGTGCGCTCAAGTGCACACTGAAGAGGAAGGAGAGTTGTCTGAGAGGATTAGCGAAGCTGCAGAAAGTTCTCAGGATGAGGTCATGCATTTGCTCAGTGGGCGTGCCTGCCTCCAGCACAGCTGAACGGGCTGGGCCGGCCCCAGGCTGTGTGTGGGACAAAGGCTGTGTCATCTGGCAAAAATGTTTCCCTCCCTTCCCCCCTCCCCGAGAGGCTGGCTGCTCCCCGGCCTCCACTGTCCCTCGCAGGAAAGTCCGTTCGCCCCAAAATGAACCCCAACTCCAAAGACCCTTTCAAAAGCTACCTGCGCTGCTGTCACGAAATGGGAAAAGCCTGAGCGAAGTGAAAATAAGCAGGCACCGAAGGCTGAGGATCACGTGATCGGCCAGTGATTTTCATTTCCTACCTTTTGGGATTTTCCACGTTGCTACAAGCATTTGCCAGATCTACCACGAGAACAGATGCTTTTCCAACGAAATGGACAGCCTAACCCCTTCCTCCTTTCAGAGATGCTTTATGCTAACATTCTTGGGGAGGCCGCTCAATCCTAACACCTCATCGTCACCAGCTGAGGTGATCCAATACGAGCCGGCACCACTGGCACATGTCAGCTAGGTCAGTGTTCTGTCGCGGGCGAGTAGACGGATGGATGGCCTGGCGACTGGGCGGACAGAGCTGGACAGCTCCCAGGAGCGCCTTCAGACAGCGAGAAAGACGCCTGGAGAGCAATAGCCAGAGGCCAGCCCCGCCCCGCGTCGCCAGGCAACGTGCAGGTGACCAGCCCCTGCCCGACACCACACACCCAGGAGTCCCATCTGTCTGCTGCCGTGTCCCCAGGCTGAGCGGGGGCCCTGCGCGCCCAGGAAGCCCTTGCCGAGTGAGGGTGTGGACCAGAACCTCTACTCCATCCTGCAGAGCGAGCGCGGTACCTGTAGCAGAAGTCGTGTTTCTGGAAGGTCTGGCCAGCCGCCGGAAAGATGTCCAGAAAGGCCCAGAGCGTGGTGCAGGTGTCGCACAGGTACAGGACGATGTCCTTCAGCTCCTGTTGTGAAAGGAGACACTGCGTTCCTCCCCTCGCCCCGTGACAGCTCCGGGGAGCCGTGGTTCTCAGCCTTCCTGATGCCGCGGCCCTTTAACCCAGCTCCCCATGCTGCGCTGACCCCCAGCCATACATAACATTATTTCCGTTGCTACTTCATCGCTGTAACTTTCTACTGTGAATGAATCGTCATGTAGATATCTGTGTTTCCCGATGGTCTTAGGCGACCCTGCCTACACACGTCTGCTTTTGCACATGCCTCGCTCCCAAGGGCCAGCACGGGGCTGGCGCATGCCAGGGCTCCGCGGTACAAATGCACTGAGCTCACACAACAGCACACGAACGAACCTGCTGAACTGAACCGAACTCCTGCCCCCCGAATTCTAGCTCCCTGTCCGTCCCACTGCTCCCCAAACGAGGCTTCCAGAGAAGATGGCAGTCTGCTGAGGTGCTCTTAACGTGACGGAAGCAGCTGCTCACGGGGCTGGGGAAAGGGACCAGGAGCAGGGGCCCCCTCACCGGGAGAGGCATGTCACTGGGGGTCGGCCGGCCCCTCTCTTCAAGCTTCTGGGGCGTGGAGCTGGCCCCGTCCGCTCGCAGGCCGCTGTGCTGGAGGATGTTGCTGAAGACCTGAGGGGCACACACACGTTTTCCACCCGCGGTTGGTTGAATCCCCAGATGCAGACCCACGGATAAGAAGAGGCCGAAGGGATTCTAAACACTACCGTGAACGGGGAATTCTCTTGGGGATGGGATGGAATCCCAGGGGAATATTACTTTTCTCTTTTGGTGTGTTTTTTGTATTTCCCCATTTTTTATAATGAGCATTACTATTTCATGAAATGACTTTGTAAAACTTGAAAACGCTTATTGGAGAAACCTAGCTCTCTAGAGGGGTCCTTAGAGGCTCGTGGCTGTGAGCAAACACAATGCAACCCAAGCCTTTGTGGACAAGTGCGGTACTTAACAGCCCTGAGAGCTCCATCCTGTGCCAGAGGGGAAAGAGCGGCGTGAAGTGTGAGAACCAGGACCCTGAGAGCTGCTGGGGATGGGAGGGGAGCGGGAGTAACCCTTTCTCCCAGGCTCAGCAAAGTCAAGGTCCCCATCAGGTGGGAAGGGTCTGCTTCCCAAGCTCGTCCCCCTCTCTGGGGCGGGCGAGAGCCGGTACCTGAAGGATGGTGGGCATGCTCTCATCCAGGTCACTGTAGTAGCTTGGCTGCTGGTTAAAGATGTTTCCTGAAAAGAGAAGCGAACGTGGAAATTGGGGAGCGAGTGGGGGCGGAGAGGGTGTATTCCAGAGGGTGCCAGCAGGTTCTGGGGCCTCTCTCCCCTTTCCTAAGCCTGCCTGAACCAGGGCAGTCCTGGCCCCGGGCCCTGCTGGCACCCAGCTTTGGCCCAGCCTGGAAACTCCCCAGGGTGGGGGAGGAACTCACGTGGTACAATTTAACCTCTTAAGCACCTCTGCCGAGCGAATAACGTAAAGGCCTGCCCCGGTCAGACCAGCTCGCCTGACGTCCCCGGGGAAGGATCACGCTTGGGCCCTGCGCCCTATGTGACGGCATCGGCTCTGGAAGTGGGAGGCAGTCACCCAGGGAAATTAGGAGATAGGATCTCTTTTCTCAAGAAATCTGGATGCCAAATCCGGGAGGCTTGCCAGGCTGCGTCTTCGATATGGCGAAGGAATCGGAGGAGACATTTCTTTGGAAATCCTCTCACCTCTGCTTTTGAATATCCTGGCCGTGGGTGCCAAGCGAGAGGTGAGAGGCCTGCAGGGGACAGGACACCCTCCCCACTCCTGGCATCGCACCTCCTCCTCTGCACCTTCCTCAGCCTCAGGGAGCAGGCCCTGCCCCCTCCTTCTCTCGGAAGTGACCTCCCATGAGGCAGAGTCACCTTCTCCGGGCAGCCTCTCCTGACCCAGGCATCACAGGTCCCCTCCCATAACTCCCGGGGCCACACCATGGTCCCCTCCGAGCCCCACTCTCACTTCTTTCCCCTGCGTAAGCCTGGTCATAGGGGTTTTTATAAGCATCAAAAGAGATCAGGTTTCCCAATCTACCCTTGGCGGCTTTGAAGTCCCTTTCCTCTCCTTCATCTGGTTCTGATGATGGCGGAGAACTTCTGATCTCTTAGAGAAATAATTTAGAAGGTATGGGCAGCACCCTGGCACGTGTAGCTCAGTGGGCTGGAGTGCCATCCCACGCACCGAGGGTTGTGGTAAAATCATGGGCATCTTCACCGCTCACAGGTCAGCGCGCATGCCCAAGACTTGGGTTTGACCCCCAGCCAGGACACGGGAGGCAACAGATCGATGTTTCTCTCTTGCACCCATGTTTCTCTCTTTCTCTCCCTTCCTCTCTCTCTAGAATCAATGAAGGACATATCCTCAGGATTTAAATAATAATAATAAAAATAATAAAAACACGGGACAGCAATGGCATCCTTTGAAACGTGCTCCTCAGCCGGAACAGTTCAGAAACGCAGGGCGGAGAGAAAGCCTGGGCGTCTGGAACTGTGTCCTACAATTCAAGGTGAGCGAGACTGACGGGGTGCCCGAGGGAGCACCCCCCCATGCAGGGCCCGCGGCCTGAGCTGCGATCCAAAGCGCTTTGTTCCCTCTGTCGCATCCCAACAAAGCTCCTGCCTCTGATGGAGCCTTCCAGCCCGCTGCCTCCGCACAGGCCCCGACTGCTGACGCCATTCCTTTCACAGCCGGGGCGTCCTCCTGCCCTCGGCCCCGTCTGTTCCAGCAACAATGCAAGTCCTGTCACTCTGAGGCCGCCGTCAGCCCCGAGGCGGGGAGTGGCACAGGACCAGAGCCCGAGAGCCAGGCCTCAGCTCCCTCCTCACGGCCCTGACACTGAGGCTCAGGGTGCTTGTCTGTGAGCGGGAGGTGACAGCATGTATCCCAGGGCTTGTGAGGAGCTCAGCCCCGCAGCGACCTCAGAGACAGGGCGGCTGTCCCCGCCCTTCAGCTGCCTCACGAGGACTCCCAGACCCTCTAGGAACCTGTCTCCCCTCCCCCATCACTTCAGAGGTGACACACATGTATCTAAGTCATTTCCAAGCACCCCTCCCCCTCCCCCCTCCACTGCCGCTCCGAATCCCCTGCTCTCCTCTAGCACCACCTCTGGGACCTCGGGTTCGACTTATGGGGCCATCTCCATGCACCCCCAGCCCCACAGCCTGCGCACCTATCATCTTCCTGAGCAGCGGCGCATTGCCTTTCCCGAAGAGCACGCAGAGGTCCAGGATCTTGGGGATGTCGAACAGGAAGTTGTTGTAGAGGATCTCTCCGAACGCAGACGGGGAGAGGAAGTGGTCCTAGGAGCAGGCAGAGGGGAGGGGCTGGCTGAGCACAGGCACCTGCAGAGTCGGAGCCAGCGCACATCACAGGGACCGGACAGCGAATGCGGCTCCCTCCGCGCGGGGGACACGTCTGAGTCCTGTTCGGACCTGGGCAACAGTCGTTGCATGTAGAAAGGAGCAACTGCACACGGTGCCACAGCTGGCTGGGGGTTCACTCTAAACAGTTACCAATGAATTACCAGGATGTCTGGGGTCACTTTCAAATACTAAAAAAAAAAAAATCTTTGGAGGAGAGAGAAAATAAGATCGACAAAATGTTGATAATGGTTTAAGTTGGATAATGGGAACATGGGATTCATTATGCTTTTGTGATTTTTGAAAATTTCCATACTAAGAAAGTTTAATAACCCCCCCCCACACACACACACACACATCCCTCTACTGAAAAGAAACAGGCACCTTAACAGTAATTATTAGGGGGAGGAGATTTTGTAGATAACCTTTCCTATTGACAAAATATTTCTGTAATGTTTGTGTTGTTTAGAGGTAGTATTATTATTATCACTTATTGGTTTTAGAGAGAGGAAGGAATAGAGAGAAACATCGATGTGAGAGAGAGAGACCGATCGGCTGCCTCCCGCACATGCCCCAACGGGGGATGGAACCCCCCACCTGGGTGTGTGCCTGACCAGGGATGGCACCCACCTCTGGGTGTGCAGAATGACGCTCCCTCCACCAGCTGGGGCAGCTGCATAATTATTTTGAAATTGGGGGTGGGGGGTGGGGGGAGTAAAGGCTTTCAAACAGCACATACAAGTCCCTTTCAGAAACCAGAATCGGTATTTTCCCCTCTGACGCAGAGAAGAGGCAGAGTCACGCGTCAGCTGGCGGAGGGCCCGGCTCCATTGATGAAAACTGGGTGTCATGCAGCCGCCCGGGAGCCGGGGCAGGGAGCCGGGGCAGGGAGCCGGCACAGATCTCTCCCCAGCAGCGGGGCTGGAGGCAGCGGAGACAAAGGGAAACGCGATACTCCAGAGCCTGCCTTCCCGCGGTGTCGGGTGGCGCGGTGCCCGTCACGGGACCGGGCTTACTTTGGACTCCTTGTGCGTGGACATGCGGAGGAAGGTGAGGAAGACGCTGCGATGGAGCCGCTTCTGCGCGTCCGCCACCTCGGGGGCCGGGGCCACCCACTCGTCGAACTTGCGGGGCACGTGGTGCAGGTAGGAGTCCAGGCACTTCTGCAGGCTCTCATCGAAGATGACCTAAGCCGGCAACGGGGGAGAGCCAGGGTTTGATCCCGACACCCAGGGGCTCGTGGGAGGGCAGCCGGGGCCGTGGCCGGTGGCCAGGAAGGGACTAAGAAGGCATGAGTGAGCGAGGGCCACACGCGAGTCTCTAAAAATGACAGGCTGGAAGGTGTTGCATAAACATCACTGAGATTGTGATTACAAGACAGGGCAATCCAAACCACCTCTTCCTGTTAAGGATCCAGCGAGAGAAGGAGGGAAAAAAGCGTCCCCTAGGAGGAGAGAAACAACAGAAGCCAACCGAACAGCATGGCATGTGCGTTGTCTTAGCGTTAATGTTGAGGAAGGTTACCTGGCACCAGAACTTAGCGTGAGGCAAGGCCAGGAGCCAGTCGAGGTCATTGGCTACGAAGGCGGCGCGCTCCAGGTACTCCTCCACCAGGGCGGGGACGTTGTCTTTAGGGGGCGGTTTGTATAACACAAAACACCGCTCTGCCTTCTGCCCGGGGTGCTAGGAGCCAAAAACCACGTGTCACCGCGGCAGAGGTTAGTCAGCGCGGGCCCTCTGCCAACCCACAGCCGTGACAGCCCATGGCCGCTCCAGCCGGCGGCCCTCCGAGGAGTCTTCAACAGAAAGAGCCAGTGTCTCTGGCAAAGGAGCTGGGTTACTGCATCCGGGGAACACCAGGCGGGCATTCAAAACCATGGTTTTTGGAGAATATTTTCACCACATGGGGAAAGGTTGAGAAAAGAAAAAGCAGGATACAAACCTCTCTAGTTAATATAATCCGTTTTTTTTTGGATTGAAAATAAAGCAGACATTAGAAGATAGATGATAGATAGATAGATAGATAGATAGATGTAACATATTCACAAATAGCTAAACAACACAAGAGTTATGTGTGGGACCGTACTCCAAAGCTGATAGCGATTGTCTCTGGTGGGGAAATTTTGACTTGAAAATGCTTTCCAATTAAAAAAAATGAAAATGTGTCACTTTTTAAAATTATTATTTTATATAAGTGAGACCTGAGCATCTTTTCTTTCTAAGTTTGCAAGGTGAGCTGCCTGAGACGACACTCCCAGTCCCCGTGTCCGTCTATCCAGTGAGCATGCTTGCGGACCTATAGGCGTCTACGTTAAAATGTACCCACATAGGTATTTGTTCAGATGCTTCCTCACAGAAACGGTATTATTCTAGAAGTATTATGCCATATCCATCTCATAATCAGGAAAAAAACACCTCAGTCATTTTTTTTTTTGTAAAAAAAGATGCTAGAGGAGTAACTGCAGGTCTTGGCTCAGAGTCACAAGTTCTCTCTTCCAGTCCCTACCTTGCCATGAACAGACCTGACTGTTCGCCGTAAAGGAGAGCTCAGTTATCTCCTCTGGCTGCATAAGGGCTCCTTTCTCCAGGGAAGAAGGTAACAGGAGGAAGAGCAGGCAACATCTCAGCTGTTATCAAACACACCCACCCACTTCCAGGCCTGTCGGTCCAGGGGGACAGGAAAATCACGACGGATTGCTAGTCTCCTTGACAACCACCCATGTCTCCCTACGGTCTAAGACAAGTTTTCAAACTGTGGAGTCTTTGGGTTCCACAAGGATTCCTGGGGGGCCGGGGAGGGGCATCTCTTGGATGGGTCTTTAGGACGCTTCCCATCAAAATTAAAATTTGTACAGTGGGTTCCAGGTACAAATCTTTGAAAAAAGAATCCTGCTGACTGAACCCAGTTCAAAACTACTCTCTAAGGTCTAAGCTCATCTCCTTGGTTTCCTGGCTTCCCCAAAACTGTTATGTGTTTGACACCTCACCTCTTAGGTCATTGCTCAGGCCAGGTTACTCACCCGTCCTCCACTCCGAAACACACTCCTCCCCCCCGCCCCACATCCTATTTTCCTTACCATCCTACAAACATTGGCTGGAACCCCGCGGGGCACGTGTGGGGTAACACAGGAGGAAAAGCATCTGCGGGCTCAGAGACCGTGCTCCAGCGGGGAAGATGCACATCTGAGCCACCAAGAGAGCAAAAACAGCAAGGGACAGCTCAGATCTGCCAGAGGGACCACGGGGGTGCTAGGGGGATTGACGATGCCTGGAGGACCTGGGGCAGCTCGCTTCCCAAAGCAGGCAGCATCTGAGCTGGACCTTGGAGAATGAGAAAGATTTTTAGAATGAAGAAACGATATTTTTGTGGAGGCATAAAAATGCACCATAAAAAAAGAAGAGGGCCAGATTGCACTGGGAGGTGGGGGAGAGTTTGGAGGGAGAAACGCTGGAACAATGACAAGGAAAGCCGCTACTATCGAGGGCCTGCCCCGTGCCTGCTGCTGAGCAGGTATGTTCCCCGTCCTTTCCTTCTTGCCTACCGCAACTACTGGAGAGGGAGATGGCATGTTTTTACAGAGGAGGAAACCAAGGCTCAGGAAGCTTCCGGAACTTTGCCGAGGGCACATGGCTAAGGAGGCAACTGAGGCAGCGTGTGAACCAAAGCTCACACTGCAGACCTACTAAGTGACCCATGGTACCCCTGGGCCATCCTGGTCTCACTGCTTGTCCTTTGAGGCGATGAAGGACCAGACACTGCTAAGGCCTTTGAAGAACCCTGAATGCCACGCTCAGAGTAGGGACTTTATTTCGTAGGTAAGGAGGCCACGGGAGATTGCAGGGCAGGGAGCGGCAGGCCCCAGCTGTATCTGCAGCCTTCAGAGCTGGCTGAGGTCCCACTAAGCCAGCTCTGACATTCTCTGCTCACCAGCCTTTCGGTAAGAAACCACCTGCACCGTTCTCCAAATGCTCCATCTACGTGAGTCTTATCTTCCTCCAAAGCTCACTCACCCAATCTGGCCCAAGACTTGCTTTGGGATATTCAACAGCACCAAGTAGGCACGGTGCACACAGTAGGTACTCAATAAACATTAGCGTGACCCATCATCCCGCAGACGGCATGGTGGCCGTCCCTTGGCTGGAGATCTCCTTGTCCCATGTTAGGACTAAAGACACAAGTGCAGGGTGAGTACAAACCCCAGGGCAATCTTTTAGGAGCTCCCAGCGGCCAGAAGGCTCACCCTCTTTAGCATGGCCAGCAAGACTACTCCTCAATCAGGCAACTGTCTCCCTCAGCTCATCCCTCTTCCCACCCTACTCCCATTCAACGCTCCCACCACGGTCACTACTGAGTGTTTACTATGTCCTAGTACAGTGCTAATTCAGACGTCTCACTTAATCCTCACAGCCACCCCACAGAGCTGGTTCTATTATTACCTTTTTAGATCCCGAGGCATGGAGAGGTTACGTAACTTGTCCAAAGTCACACAGCCAAGTATGCGTGACATTTCACTCAAAGCCCCTGGGGTACTGTTTCCACCAAGTGACTGGTGGTTGGCGTAGGAGTCAGGCCCTCAAAACAGCACCCTCAGGCCCTCCTGCCAGGCCCTCCCTTTGCCCATGGCTCTGCCTGCTAACGCTTATTCATCCTTCAGTACCCAGCTCTGCATCTCCCTCGTTCAGAGCCTTCCCTGGCTGCGCATGTCCTCCCCCCACTCCCGAGGCCTCCCTGCCTCCACACCCCCCTTTGGTCTGGACAGGCAGCCTGGACTTCCTCCTCCCTGATCACACTGGAGAGAAGCTACTGGGCGGCTTTTCTCTCGGACCCCGGGCAGGGGCAGCTCCAGTGCCTGTCACAATGGCTGCTGGGGTCCTTGACCCATTTCCGGAGTCTTCTTGGCCCTGGGAAGCCAGATGAAGAGAAGGCACCAGGTCCCCGCTCTCCCGGAGCCCACAGCCTAGCAACCCCGGTGCTCAGTGTGCGGGGGAGGACCGAGGTGGAAAACCAGACCCAGCCACTCCGGGAACCCGTCCCCACCAGTCCTGTCCGCACAGAACTTTCCGCAATAATGGAGCTGCTCTCCACCTGTGCAGGCCGCCACTTATCCAGGGGGCTGTGTCCATTTAATTTAACTAAAGTTAAAATTCATATCCAGTTCTTCAACTCAACAGCCCACATTTCAAGTGCTCAGTTGTTCTATTTGGCAAATGGCTACCCTATCGGACAATAAGAGTTTTCGATTTTCTGGTCAATATCCTCCTTATATAAAAAGGTACGAAAAAGAAACAAGAGGTTTTATAGCAGAAAGATGATGGGTCTGACCTCTAGGGTCAGCCTCGCTGGATTCTCACCCTGGCTCCCCTAATTTCCTATTCCTGTGACCCCAAACTCTCTGTTTCCTCATCTGTAAAATGTGGACAACCACAATACCTACTCACAGGGCTACGGTGCCGCTCACAAGAGAGGATCCAGGCGAAGTGTTTAGAAAGATCTGGCCCCGCATGAGCGCTCCCTGATTCTTGGGTTCTATTAACAATACTCTTGGGAGCAATGGGAGGGCATGGGCAGCCCGGACAGTGGTTAGGAAGTAACAGGAAGCCATTCAGAAAGCAGGAAACAGAACACCAAGCTCTTGTTTCCCACAACTTCGCTCAGGCCGCGGGAAAGGACTTCCTCTCACCATGCGCGAGTAAGCTCAGATTCTTGGGAAAACAGCAGGGGGGCAGGGGGACTCAGGGCCCTGGGTCTGTGTCCTGCAGCAGCCTGGCCCCTCCCTGTGGCTCTGATCTCCCTCTGCAGCTGGTCATTGGCATGCTCACAGCCTGCTTAGCTTTCAGTCTCACAGGCCCCGCCGGGTCTGTATGTGGCACTGCTTGGCCCATGGACGTGGAGATCAAAGTCGGCAGGACCTCTGAAATCAGGGTCCCCCCCGGAGTGCGGATAGCAGCTGAGATAGCTCTGAAACCTGACCACCTCCCACAGGGCCAAGTGCCCACACCCGGCTTTGGGATGGATCTGTTTCCAGCCGGCTCAGGCTAGCCAGAACGGCCCTCCGACTCTGATCCAAAACGAAATGCTTTGAGGGAAGGTGTGGGGAGGCGACATGGGAAATGCTACTCAAGTTCAGGCCGCGGCTGGAACGGATACCTCTACCCTGGGCCTGGCAGGACCCGGGAGTGTCCCAGCTGCTGAGCTACTGACTGTGGCCCCGAGGTCCTTCTTGGAAGAGAGAGAGGAGGAATTCACTTCGGAAGCTGCAAGAATGACAACAGCAGCCCGAGAGGCCTCACGGCACCCGCTCACCAGCGCGGGCGATGTCCTCGGCTTGCCTGTCTTCGGGTCCTTGTGGGTGATCTGCAGTTGGTCCAGGGGCAGAGCTGGCATTGTGCTGGGCAACCCTCCTGAAAGGAATACGGATGGGAAGGAGAGGGCAGACACAGGCTCCGGGGCCAGCGCCTGCTCTGGGCGGATCCCAGGAGCTGGAGCGCTGGCCTCAAGGGACTCAAAGGCCTGGTTCCTGTACCGACCCAGGCTGCAGTGACTCCCCAGGTGACGCCCATCCACTCCCACCCCTGAGGACTGGCTAAACGTGCCCAGATGACCTTCCTTGTGGCTCCAGCTCCGGGCCCTCCGGGCCGGTGAGCTCTGTGGAGACGGTGCCTGGCTCCCCTCCCCTCACTGGCTTTCCCATGGCCAGCACAGGCCGGCGGAGAGGGGGGCCTCATGGAACGTCTGATGACCAACGGACCAGGACACTTCTTATAACTCCAATCAGGCTTTCCGTCATTTGAGGGTGAAGCCACGGGCCTCTCCTCACCTGCAGAGTGTGCTAAGATTGTGTAACCTTTCTAGACGTCAGGGAAGAAGGACACGGATGAACGGAAGGATCAAGGAGGATGACAGGATTCACAGAAAGTTGCTAGGACAAGCTCCTTTCTACAGAGGCCCAGATCGGCTCAGGGTCAGTGAACGGCAGATCGCACGTCTTCTGTCTTGTCAGCCAATGCTCTTTTCACAACACCACGTGACCTGACCCACAGGAGGGCTGTGCACGTTGGCTGTGTCATGGAATGAAGTGCATGAGGCCCTTTAAGAGACACGCCATAAAAGGTCAGCACCGTCTCAATGACAACATGGAGACATACTAAGGCCGGGATGGGGAAGCCATCACCTCCTGAACCCTTTCCGATAAGCTGAGGGGCCTGGTCATCCCAGAGTTACATGGATCATACATGTACACATGGATGTCCAGATCTCCAGTATCAGGCCAGGCCTGGTGTTCGAAAGACACACCGATAAGGCAGGGTCTCTTCCCTGAGGAAGCTCACGTCTAAAAATAATGACAAGAAACACGGGAGCAACATGCTTATCACGTGTTGGCAACTCTTTCTCGGTATTAACTCAGTTCACACATGTTAACTCACTTTGCATGTATTGATGGTCATTCCAACTCTAAGGTAGCTTCACTTTACCAAACGCTAAGTGTTCAACACAGGACTTGGTGCATCATAAGCACTCAATAAAGTTAACTTGTTGCCCTAATCAGTTTGGCTCAGTGGATACAGCGTCGGCCTGCGGACTGAAGGGTCCCAGGTTCAATTCCAGTCAAGGGCATGTACCTCGCTTGTGGGTATATCCCCAGTGAGGGGTGTGCAGGAGGCAGCTGATTAATGTTTCTCTCTCATCGATGTTTCTAACTCCCTATCCCTCTCGCTTCCTCTCTGTAAAAAAAAGTCAATAAAATATATATTAAAAAAAAAAAAAAAAAAAAAAGCAAAGGGAGAGCGTGAGCCAAGGCTCAGAGCCTGTGGTTTGAAGGGAGGGGAAGACATGGTTGGAAATGCAAGGTCAGAAGGTGCTGGATAGGAAAGATGGGGCCAGTTGTTTTTTTTAAAGCCTTGAATGCTATGCTAAATATTTTGGCTTTTCATCTGAAGCCCTTTAAGAAGAGCAGAGACGTGATCAGAGAGAGAAGACAATAACCAGGGGGCAGGAGCGACCTCCCAGGAACCACCGGAGAGCAAAGTCTGTGCTAATCCCCTCCCTCATCCACCCAAAGGCTTCTGAGCACCTCGTACCCGGGCACTGGGGCCCGCAGAATGCTCAAGTGCACAGACCACAGGCCTGGCCTGCCCCTCACAGAAGGGAAAGACGGCAATGAGTCAAACAGTCACACAAACACGTGAATCTCAACACCACAGACGCTGTAGGTCAGGCCCCTGCAGCTATGACCGAGGACCGACAGGACAGAGGAAGGCTGTCGGGGAAGATGTGCCTCAAGTCTGGGCAGACACTAACGAGGCAAAGAGAATGAACGTGAAGTTTCTAAAAGAAGGAGGACAAGGACCATGGCAATGTCTGCGCCCATCACTGCAACCCCGGTGCCAAGAGTTAAGAAGGCACTTTCTTTAGAAGGGGAGCTCCGTGCAAGCACCGGTTACTGCAAGGCCGGGGCGCATTCCCAGCGCTACCGCTGCCTCAGTTTCCCCGTCCTCACCCTTCTGGCCTCAATACAACGTGACTCTCTCCTTCAGGAACCAGACGGTCCCATCTCCGGGATGCACTGCCCGGGGCAGCTCCTGTCCTATATTTAATTACCTCGCGCCTTTGCCTGTCACTGACCGCCTCCTCCCACCAGACTGTGCGCTCCACGCGGGCAGGGGTCTTGTCGGTCTCGTTCCGTGCCCAGGTCTGTGCCCGGCACGTAGGAGAAACGTGACGTCTATGTGCCGAACGAATGAACGGACCCCGAGGAAACCGAACGAGGCGCGGTCCCCTCACCCCAGGATGAAGCTGCGGGGGACCGCGACTCGTTCAGGTCACTCTGGGCCGGGCCTCGAACCCGGATACTTCCTGGCCTCGTGGGGGCAAAGGGGGAGACTCCAGGCCCCTGGGCCAGCACAGCCCAGGCCCTGTGGTGGGGACAGAGAGGCCCGAGGCACGGCCGCGGCTCCGCCCAGGCCCGGTGCCCCGCATCCAGCCGCGGACTCACCTCGGCGGCCCCACTCCCGGCTCCGTGCCGCCGCCGCCGCCGCCGCGGTCCACGGTGACAGTTCCCAGGAAGCCGGCACTTCCGGGGTCAAACGGCGATTCCGCAGACGCTGATAGGACGCCTGGGCCTGGCCCCGCCCCCGGCGCCAACTGCCACCAGGAAGCCGGGCTCGAGGCCACGCCCCCAGCCCTCAGACCCCGCCCCCACGAGGACCGGCCGGGCTGTGGCCACGCCCCCTCCCTCCTCCCTCCCCGCGGATGGAAGGTAACTCTAGGCTTTGATTCCACCTCTTGGAAAATTCAAGAATGCTCAGAGGAGTCTGTCACTTGGAGTAGGACAGACTCCTTAACCAGCGTGGAGGGATGTGCGATTGTGTGAGTGCAACGACATTCCCCCCAAACTCGGTGGCTTACAACAAAGCCACACACATAGTGGTGCTCCAGAAGTTTTAGGGAGGAGGGAGGAAGGGATGGAGGGAGGGAGGGAGGGAAGAAGGAAGGATATTTTATCAGGGTTAACTCTTTTTTTTTTTCTTTCATTTTTTAAAAATATATTTTATTGATTTTACACAGAGAGGAATTGAGAGGGACAGAGAGTTAGAAATGTCGATGAGAGAGAAACATGGACCAGCTGCCTCTTGCACACCTCCCACTGGGGATGTGCCCACAACCAAGGTACATGCCCTTGACCGGAATCGAACCCGGGACCATTCAGTCCGCAGGCTGACGCTCTATTCACTGAGCCAAACCGGTCCCGGCTCTTTCATTTTTTTATTAAGGTATTATATGTGTACATATTTTACCAATCTACCCCTCCCCATATACCTGCCCTCCCTCCCCAGAGTTTTGCATCCAATTGGTTATGCTTATATGCATGCATACAAGTCCTTTGGTTGATCACTTATCTCCCCCAGATCTCCCTCCCCTCCCTGCTGTGATTTGACAGTCTGTTGCTTTACTGTCTCTGTATCTATCTCTGTATCTATCTTTTTGTTCATCAGTTTATAATATTCCTTATTATCCATAAATGAGTGAGATCATGTGGTGTTTTTCTTTCATTGACTGGCTTATTTTCACCCAGCATAATGTCCTCCAAGATTAGCTGGGACCTGTTTGGCTCAGTGGATAGAGCGTCGGCCTGCGGACTGAAAGGTCCCGAGTTCGATTCCGGTCAAAGGCATGTACCTTGGTTGTGGGCACATCCCCAGTAGGGGGTGTGCAAGAGGCAGCTGGTCGATGTTTCTCTCTCATCGACGTTTCTAACTCTCTGTCCCTCTCAATTCCTCTCTGTGTAAAATCAATAAAATATATTTATAAAAAAAATAAATAAATAATGTCCTCCAAGATTAACTCTTTTATGCCTTTCCTTTTGTTTTCTCCCCTTGGCGTGGAGAGATGAATGAGGGAAGTGACCCTTTTAAAGGAGGCGTCCTTGTCTGAGGTAACATATGTCCAACTGGGACTAAATTAAAAAGCAATCCTGGGTATTAGTCATTTGTTGTTGTTCATGGTTCCTGTGGGTTGGGAATGAAAAGAAAAACAGTTGCTGAAGGATGAGCCTTCAGCTCTGTCCTATTGCACTGTGCAAAGCATGTGTGCTCTCGGCTGGCTCCCTCAGTGCTCTGTGCTGGGGGCACTGCTCCCACAGCCCACAGTGCGTCACCACCGCTGGCTCCTCATCGCCACAGACACCAGCAGCAGCTCTCCAGGAGCGGGGAGATTTTGGTTATTGGTTTTCTTGGTGGATTTTGTGTTTTCTGTTATCTGTTTTGATCATGTAGTATTTTTATAATTGGAGAAAAATCGCATACTTTAAAGTAAAAAAAATAGAGAGTGGAGGAGGCGCTGCTTGAATACCCTCACATCATAGCCTCTGGCTTCCTTCAGAGAGAGCCTTCTGGCTCAGGGTATCCTGCGAAGATGCAATCGCAGGTCAGAGGTGACTGCGTTCATTCATCTGAAGACTTGATCAGAGCTGAAGGATCCAAGGTGGCTCGTTAATGTGGCTGGCATGTTGGCACTGGCTCCTGGCAAGAGGCCTCACTTTCTCTTCGCAGGACTGTCTGACTCTACCCTCAACACGGCCCCTGGCTTCCTTCCGAGGGAGCCATCTGAGGGGTCTGGGTGGAAGCAGCACGGCCTCGGTGACCTGGCTCTGGAAGCCACACAGCCCTCCGTTGGTCATGTCAGCTGGCCTCGGTTTCATTGCGGGGGGGGGGGGGGTGGCACTGCACAAGCGAGTGAATATCAGGAGACGGCATCATGGGCGCCATCTTGGAAGCTGGGTACCACATCCATTTAAGATGAGCCTTGCCAATTGGCATATTCCAAACCCTCAGCCGCAGTGATTGGGTAAAAAAAAATACATACATGATCCAAACTTACCCCATGAT